ACTACAGCTACTACCACTCACAACAACAACAATTACTACTACTGCTACTACTACTACTGCTACTACCACTACCACTACCACGACGACTACTACTTTTACTACCACTACTACTACTACTACTATTTCTACTTCTACTTCTAAAACTACTTCTACTTCTTACTACTTCTTTTCTTACTACTACTACTTCTTACTACTACTACTACTTCTTACTACTACTACTACTACCACTACTACTACTACTACTACTACTGCTCGGACTAAGACTACCACTACTATTGCTACCGCAACGACAACAACAACAACTACTACTACTTCTCCTCCTCCTGCTGCTGCTGCGCCGACTAGCAGATTATTCAGGGGAGGTGGACCTCATGAGTAGTCTCTCACATCTTCTTGACCTTGTTGACCTACCATGTGGGGTTATTCATCAGGTTTTTACATTACAGGTGTTTGCGACGTACAAGGGTAAAGAATGATCGTATGAACCCTCTTCTTATATTATACATATTATCTATACAAAGTATATATATATATATAGTATATATATAGATTGCGAAGTAGATAGTATAGCGATTTTGATACACGTCAGCTTCTGTCAGGAGCGACTTGCCGGTTAGAGACCACAAAACAAAACCTCATCATTGCTTCTGCGGTTGCCCATCCCTCCGCTCGGAGTTGTCTGAGCATGGCATCGGTGAGTCAATTGTCCGCCGGCCGTGGCCCAGCATTTTGGCCCCCGCCCTCTAATCCACTTTTATGTGGTACCCCGGCATGTATCAGTGAGGCTCGCCTCCTTGTGCCCCAAGTCAAGCCCAGCTGGCAAAGGGTTATGAGTGAAGATCAAGACCGGTATTGCAGAAGGAGTTGGTGTTGCTTTTCTGCCACTGTTGAACCTTTGCCAGTAGTGGATCGGGCCAGTTTAATCTCTTTTGGAGATATGAGCCGGTGGCGGACCTTCTGAAATTCTACGACGATGCCCAGGACACAATGTACAAAGTGCTAGTGCTTAAAATATGCCCGGGGCTGGGGTCATTTTACCCTGAGCCAGGGTCCTCTCCAGGTATGTTTTCTAGTTTCACCTCTTGGCCACTTGGCGACCTAAACAACCAACCAATTTGATCGATGTATGATATCTAGCCGCTACAGATCTGGAAGGACCTGTATGATGTCGCGCATGGATGAAGTATTTTCGACATGGGCATTTGTAGCTGTAAGAGCTGGCTCAGCAAATCAGCAAATCCGGCATGCTCGCCTGCACGTCGATGGAACCCAACCCTCATGAGTGGGGGGTGTTCAGACCCCATATAACACCGGAGCAGATGCTGAGATGGGGTTCAGGTCAGCCAAGTTCACAAGAGGTTGGAAGTCTCATGACATGACATTGAGATGATTGGAGCAGCTGGTGTAGAAGATGGAATCGAAGATGCCAAGGGCAGACCTTGGGCAACGTTTTTCTTTGGGAAGCTCGGTACTCCTCCGCACTCTCAGTTCCACGTGCGGAATTGTGCTGTAGATAAGTAGATGTTCGTTGCAAAGTCAGTAGTGAGAACGACGGCCGTCAAATTGAGGTATACGGACAAAATACGTGTATTCTACACAGCCGGCGCAGCTATGTTCCGTATAAGGTCAACCAGCTATAATTCAACATACACTACATTCTGGTTGACTTGTTGAACTGGAACATGTTGGCACAGCCGGCAGCTTCAAAAACCTGCACCGGTGGGGGAAGGTTCCTGCGCACCCTCCGACGAGGGAGAAGGCGGACTGGGGTGTGCCGGCCCATCCCAGGAGGTTTTTGTTCCTACCAAAGAGTAGCTTTTGCTGTTCTTTTTGAGGTCTGGTGCCCTGTTTTTTGTCCAACTGCAACCATTTTGTTCCCCCCTGTCCTTATGCCCAGCACAGACAGAAGCTGATTGCACCTCCTGATGCTTTGCCATGCGGACGCGGGCCTTGCTGTGTGGGCACGCTTGGCATTGTTCAGTGCGATGGCGGGGATGGATCGCTTGCAGATCCTTGGATGAAAGATGAAACCCGGAGAGTTTTGAGGCAGCCCCTATCAGGAGCACAGAGTTTTTTTCTTTTGTATTGTATCCTTTTGTTCCTTCTCATCACTAATTTTGGCATCCTTTTGCACCCTTATTCTTGGCTTACGCGATCTTACAGTCGTTTTCTTCAGGGGACAGCGCTTCAGCTGCCCATGGATGGGCTTGTTTAAAATCACCCGTCAGACGATTTCGTGAAGGTGAGAATGCCGCACACGAAGGCATCTGGAGCGAAAAGGGGCGCACGGTGGAGGACCCCCCCCCGACCACTTCGGATGCTGAAGAGCACCAACTCTGTGCTCTCCAAGTAGCTATTCAGTCAGTGCTTCCCAGCTTCTTTGGAACATGTCTTTTTGCGAACCTCCCCCGAAACACCGCAGCAAATATTCCATGGAGACTTGGATGGTCTTGGATGGAATATCGGTGGTTTTGAAGCGCCAAAAGCCACTCGCAAGAGGACCCAGGAGGGAGTTGTTGTTGAAGCCTGGCATGATGTTCTGGTATGAGGTCGGTTTCAAGGGCACAAGAGGTCAGTTGAAAGCCGAGGATACTATTTGAGAAGGTTTGATCTTATTTTGGTACTAGAGTTACTAGAGGCTTCTGTTTGCAACCCTCCCCAGCTGAAATTTTGAGGAATTCCTTCTATAGGTGGGAGGATCACCCATCCACATCAATCTCTTGAGATGCAAGCCCTAGTCTAGCACAACAGGAGCCTACACTGGTCTATCATTATCTATATAAACAATTATAAACAATATAAAACCACAAACCACATATTTGCATTCAGAAAATGATCATCCAACAGGGCCATAGGCCATACCATCCACTTCCATGATCATTTCAGGGAGTAGACGATGATTGATCACCATGGCAGTATCCTCTATGAAATGGGAAGAATGTACCCACCATGTGTGGTTTTACGACCCCCCTACGCCTAGAGAAAACTGTTTGTGCATGATGTCGCCACTGCGTGTTGTAATTTTCCTTGAGATTATATAAGACAGATCAGGTAGACTCGAACGAGGTTTTTGAGTGTTCTAGTAAGGTGGTTCAATTTAGGGTCTTCCTGCGTGTTGGCTCCACCGTTTTATGTCCAAAAAATTGGCCTGCTGGACCCCCCTACCCAAATGATAAGATGATGACACTTTAATACGGATTCCATTGATGTTATAAGTTATAACCGAATCATTGTGCACATTATTGGGACGCAAGTGTATATATATATATATGCTACCCACCCCAAGTACCACCGTTTTTCTTCAAGTGCAGATAGACCAGATGACTGCATTTTCATGTCACAGCAAAAAGACACTTGCATATGTATTGCGTAGGATGCACCAGATGACAGCAGACGATACACTTACAGTTGCATGCTAAAGCTCACCAGATGACAGCAGACGATATACTTACAGTTGGATGCTACAAAGCCAGGCGAGACTTAAAGAGCCGCCAAACATGATCAATGATTTGGGTGCCTGCCTTCACCTTGATGACTTTCCCTGAATCTGGCAACTTGTGTTTGCGCAGAGACACATATTTGGGAGCCATCCCCACCCATTTGCCCTTGACCTTGACGCGGGGGTACCATAAATGGGGGTACATGGGGGGGGTACCATATATATATATATATAATATATATGTTACATCGCTGCTTAGATTTTTCACTCATATTTTAAACTGAGGATGGAGCTCTGGCTCTCGTTCTGCGAACGAACCCAATGCCTCCCTGATGTCGCCGCGGGGTACTGAGCAGGTCGTCGGTGGGATTGCAGGGCGCATGGCCCCAAAAGCACGTTCAAATGAGCCACTCTATAAACCTCCCTGTTCATGTTTAGTGGTGTGCTTGTCATATGATTGTGCCTGTTATCATTTAATGACAGTCAAACTTCGATTGGAGTTGGTCGAACGTGGTGGTGTCTTTCGTGTTTTGAGACCTCGGTCGTTGGGAGCTAATAATCAAAACCTGGACCACCATGTAGTGAACGATGCCGGGTATGTCTATGAAGGTATCGTGGTTTGGACCCACAGCGATATGGCGATATGGATATAGGGAGACCCTCGTGTGACCCTCTGGAAGGAAAATGAACCACAACCCATTGTTTTTTTACCTATTGAATGCAAACCCACATGAACAAATCGTAAGGGTTGGAAATGACACCGCACTGGTGGCAAAGTTTCATGCCACGTCCTGTCCAATCTTGAGATGTCTTCAGGATTTCTTTTGCAGCAAGCAGGAGGTTTCTTTAGGGACAGGTAGGGCTGCGGCGAATGCCAGGATGAATTCCAATGTAAGAAATGTGGAAGGAAAATATGAAGGTTCCGATAAGACCTGAAAATAGCTCGTATTTGTTGGTTGACATCTAGAATCCCAAACCCACAACCGAAACCAGCACTCCGCAAGCACATGGTATCCCAAAGGATTTCCGCAAACCTGTTAACCCACTCCCTCAAAACCGCCTGTGAATGGTATAATGATGATCTCCTCCGATCCTGTCAAGTTAGGTGTACCTTCCTGGACACTCGGTGTGGGCACAGCGAACAGCACCCTTCGTTTACGCCATCCGTGTGTGACGTGAACGATTTGATGGTGCTGAGTGGCTGAGTTGCAAGTTGTGGGGTGAGTGGTGTCTATGTTCTACACGCAGTGCCTGCCTCACTATTTGACCAGAGTTGAGCCTGCAAAGCTTTGTGTAAGATGTATCATACTTACAGCGCGTTTCAATGACGGGGATTATTACAAAGCTTTGTCAATGAGAGACTTCATAGTCATGGTCACCACGAAAGGTGGTGTAGCTGTTTTGGTGTTTCAGCGAAGAACATCTGGCAATGGTGAGCATCCTGGTGGAATGCCCCATTTGGTCTTCTTACGCAGCTGCCCCACGCTTTCAGACCTAGGCCCGGCGGAGCAGCGGCAAGCAAGCCAACGCTTCTGGAACTTCTTGATCACTGATGAGATAAGCCGTGAGAACTTTTCACAGCGGAACATCCCACTCTTTATGTTGCAGCCTGAGATGGCCGAAGGCACGTGTTTAATTGGCCGGGTGATAGTGGGCGCGCGTTTTCTGTTTCTTTTCTTTGTTGGGGGGTGTGGAGAATACAAGATCGTGTTTTGAGTTGAGAAGGCGGTGCAGGCGAAAGTTGCAAATAACACGCCAGCAACATTTGATGTCTCTTATATTATATCACTTATCATTTGCCGTGTTTCGCGTGGGAAGCGAGGTCTGTTGTCGCTTCGTTTCCTGTCGCTTCTTGCGTTTCAGCAGGGCCGCTTGACTCACATGATCAGCCTAATGAGATGAACAGGGAGGTCGGGTCCAGTCAACGGGATTCAGAAGAACATCCGGTTCGGGGGCGGAGTTCTCAACATCCGGATCTCGCAAGAAGGGCACCCGGTGGTCGACCATCCGTTCGGATGGCATGTTCTTGACGAAGAAGTGGTGTTGTTTTGAAGGCCTTGAGTCGAGTTGTTCGCGCTGCTTGTGCAGGTTATCACGAGCACCTCATGGCAGCAACTGAAGACACCTTTGCTAGCGATCAGAATGTGCAGCATTTGTCCCTTGTCACGGTTGCATCACTGCAGACTGCAGTGGGGACATTTGCGGGTAGATGATGATTTGACTCATCATTCATGCCCCCATTTGAAGGGCAGAGACGGACTGTGGGAGGTGCCTTAGAGTTGCTTAGGCCATTTCTCAAGAAGTGGTGCTTGGACGTGTTATTGAACCCTTTTCTTTGAGGCGATATAGCCCGTTGGTTGAGTCAATGCATGTCAATTTCTACAAATTGTACGACTGTACGTATGGTTGAGGCGATTGGCATCGCCCTAATTATGACAAGCTCCAAAGAAATGCGTTTGCACACCTGTGTAGGGTATGAGGTGACTGACGAATTTGGAACGTAGACGCATTTAAATTTGTTGTGTAGACGCCTCTCCCAAGAAAACACATCGCACGGAAGTTGGCAATGGTCCCCAATCAGGCGACCGTGGAACCGAGTCGGAGTGGTTTTTGTGTCCGGCGGTCGCCAAGTCAAGCACGGACCTGGAAATGGATCAGAAGATTTTGTGTGCTGCAAGATTTAAGGGCAAGGTGAAACTGGAGGTCTATCTATAGGCCTTTTCCAATGGAGACCCCTATTGATTTGATTGGTGGCTCGTTGGACTGGGAACGGACTTGTCATCTCCAGTACCTGATTTAAATTGGCACAGCAGATGGCCAATCCATTGGAATTGGGCTGGTCTGGCATGCTCTGGCAGCCCCAAGACTTTGATGTGGAATCTGCAGATGGGACGAAGAAAATGCACTGGAGGGATATATCCAAGCACCTCAGCCTGATATGTATCCCATATGAGCCCACCATCATGCCTGGCCCGGCGCCAGGCAAGTGCTGGTGCCCTTTTTGTCCGGAATGCCGCTGGACGATCGGGAGTCAAGAGAAGCGTTCGAGGACACGCGTGAGTTCCTCGTGGACACGACTTGACGCACCAGCTGGGTTGAAGGCACTCGTGAACGGCAAAAGGAAGCAAAACTCTAATCTCCTGGACTACCTAGATAGGGCATGAAAAGAGCGGTCTTGTGGAATTCTTCCAGCTCCTTCTCTCACCTTCATCTCACAAATACAAGCAGACCATATGCCGCTTATCCGAAAGATGATCTTACCCAGACACGGTTTCAGGGGGTCAATGTGGGCATATATTCCATACATGGATGACAAGAGCTGTGGTCCATTGTGGTCCTGTGGGTTTCAGGGGTCAATGTGGGATGACAGGAGCTGTCATCTTTGGCCTTTTCCTTCCTCGAGTCTCACTACGCCGAGCCCTTGGCATCCTACCGTCGCGCCCGCCAGCTGGCAGACCTGCGCTCGCCCGAGCGGTGGTTCGACCGCGGGGGGTCGCGCCGGTGGCATTTGCACTTGGGAGTCACGAAGCTTTGGATGTCTTAAGGGGTCAAGGGGTCTCTTGAGCTGAAGGACGGTGCTCTTTTTTGGGTGGTTTTGAAATGTTTTGCCAGGGAGAAGAGATGGGTAGGAACGGGTTGGATCTTCCGTGTCCAGGGAGCCAAGAAAGTCCTTAGAAGTACAGCGTGGAACTGGGGTAGAGGCTCACAAGGCTGCCTGTCAGTAGCGTGTAGCCGAATGACGGTGGAGGCTCTCGAGCCTTCAACAGCAATCTTCTCAAGCTAAGGAACAGTGGCAAGACTCATCATGCACTGCAGGAGTTGTTCGCCGCCCCATCTGGGCTGTATATGGCTCCGTTGCGGCTGTTGGCTTGGGAATCTTGGTGCGTCATTCGTTGACTCGGGTCTATGGTTCTTCCGAAGGATGATGCTGACAATCGGACGCGCGATTTCCCTGTCACGATCTATTTACGAGTATTTACGCGTCACGTACACATCGCATATCATCATACAATGTATCATAATTTTGCCCTGTGCTTGTTGAGATGATTGTAACTTTGAAGGCGGTTGCCTTCCCAAAAGCCAACATAGCAATGCAACTAAAGGGTTTGGAAATGTTTGGAAGATTGTTTCCTCTAACATGTGTGACTTTATGACTCACGCGAGACGTTCGGGCTGCTGGAGCTGTAGTTTCCAGGACTGGTTCTAAGCTGCTTATGAGGTACAATCATGGTCAAGGTCCGCGGGACCAACTAACATGTTTCTGGTAGAACGTCATTTTTTGTATCATGCGATCCCGCCATCGCAAGACCAGTTAGCACCATCTCAGACACATCCCAAGAAGGTGTGCCCAGCCCATTGCCACAAGTAGTGCAAGGCTACAGCTGAGCCTGGTTGAAATGGCCTCGTAGATGTTTAGATGTTCGCATCATCTCCATATCACTGTTGCCGAGATGCAAATGATGTTTTGATAGGCTTCACTTGCATCCTTTCACTTTTGGGAGGGATGGGACTATGGACTATGGGACCTCCAAAAACTACTATGAATAATACTTCTCGGTCCACTCCAAGACGTATACCCGATCCTCTTGGTCTGGGATCAGGAGATCTTCCAGAAGCTGCGCGCAGCGGGTGTGCGCTGTGCTTTGCTCACAGGGCAGGAGCGTTTGGGGCCCGACGATGCCACTCATGCAGCGCCGGCACAACTGGGGGGGAAGGAGTTCACGGACAAAAGTCACTGGGGCCCCGCAGGATGGGTTGTTGTGGGGCCGGCAGGGAAGACCATGAGTCTTCGGAAGACTTCCAGGAAGATATCCTCCCCTTTCCTTCCTTCATTCAGTGACCTTTTGACTTCGCCTTCGTCATGGAGCTCATGAAGTCGGACTCCAGCGAAGGATCCCCATGGCTGGGCGCCAGAGGAAAGGGGGCCAATGAAACTCAGAAGGAAGGCCTTGAGATTGCCGAGGTAGTTGTTGAGGTGTTGGCTCAGTTGTTCCCGAATTTTTTTGTTAAGAAGATGTGGGGTGTAGGAGGGGGGAAGGCATATCACCTCAAGGATGACCATACCTCGACCAGGGACTCGATCTGGGCTCGCCGTTCCACCTCCACTCAGTTGAGGTGGCTTGCACCGTTGAGATGGCGCCACTGACGAGACACTGGCAGGTGGCGGTTTTGGATGAAGTTCAACTGGTCACCGATGCCAATCGAAGCTCGGCATTCCCGCAGGGGCAGGGGGGATGGAAGCACAAGTCCACAAGTCAACAAGCTACTTGCAGCAGGTTGAAACTCCACTCAATTTCAGAGCCAGCATTTTTGTTCAACCAAGGTCATCCAAGGTCTTCTTATATAGGACTAGGAGCTATTTGTTATACCACATAACTCATTCATCACCTTTGAGAACTCCAAACAGGCAACGCCGAGGCGAAACCAATACGCCACCTCTCAGCCACCTCTCGCCTCTCGCTAGGTGGCTTCGCTTGGACCAGGGCCCTGTTGGGGGTCAACGCACGGCAGCTGCACCTCTGTGGTGCTCATGAGCCCGCCACGCCCCTTGAAGATGACCAGAAGTAAAGGGCCGAGAAATCGATGATCCATCGAGATCTGCACTGAAGAGGGGTGACCGCATAGGACCTGCGGTGACCGGAGGACACGCGCGGTTGGATCCTTAGGGCATGGAAGGATCACTGCATGATTTGTCGTATTTTTTGGGGGTTGGTCTCATGGTCCCATAATGTCCCATACTTGGCCGAGGCCGAACGCAACCTCTTGCAACCCACGGTGAAGACTGTTTGGAATGACCGCAGCGGGGGGTCTGAACCATGGGAGTTTTTCTCGGTTTGAGGAGTGGTTGAGTGGGTGGAATTGCAATCTTTGAATTGATTATATTCACAGCAGCTCTAACTTTTAACGTTTGAAACACGTCGTCGTTTGGCAGTGAATAACATGAAATGCAAAGTAGTCCAAAACAGCATGGCAGCCATACCATGGGACAGGTAAAGCAGCTTGGAGTCGACCAGGGAATTTCCTGAGGCTTGAGAATCTTTTGCATGATTTGGCAGCGTCTTGCTGCTTGGCCTTGCTTCAGTGGGGGCAATGTGGGGTAGATGCAGTATCTCAAAACGATTAGTTGAGAATTTGGACGACATTCACTTAGTTTTGTTGTTTGAATATATGGAACTTCAAGGTGTTGGGAACCGGTAGATGCTCCACAGTTTTTCTTAGCAAGTATGCTACAAGCATCAAGACAATTACATCAAGCGGGCTTGGCCCTTCCTGAGCACGTCCAAGAGTTCAGCCAAGGACTAGAAGTAATTCAAATCGCCAAGCCAAGGGAGAAGAACAACGGTCTATTGATGAGACCTTGACGAGCAATCCCTGTTCACTGGATTGACGGAATTGACTCCTCTATTGACGGAATTCGCAACAAATCCTGAAAACAGTCCAAGATCCTGCCTAGGTGGTGACACCGTTCGCACGGTGGAACATTTCAAGCAGCGGCTGGTACCGCTGCAGTTGCAAGATGACCCCGTCGCGGACTTCTCAGCACTACAGGCGCTTGAGCTACGGGAAGGCTCCGGATGGTTCTTCATTGGAATCAAAGAGATCCTGCACCACACAAAATTGAACACGCAAGATTTTGTGTGATCTTTTGGCAAACTTGGGGCACAGGAGTGCAAACGTCCTGTGGGAACCGAGCACGGTTTTGACCACGGGTTGGGAGTCTCAATTCACATGGATTTCGGCGTCGTTGGGGAGGCAGTCAGCGTGACATTGGTTGGCATGTCCTTGGGTGTTTCAGGTACCTCTATCCTGCCGACTGACAAAGATGACGATCGAGCCATTCGATTCGCGATGATTCAAGCTCCACCCTTAGGATTTGCATGGAATTGCAAGACTTGACCTTGCTCGCCCCCCAAAAAATCGCGCGGACTATCTGAAGATCAGATGTTGGGTCAATGGGGTTCCCACTAAGAACCAGGACCTTTCTGCCCACCTTCTGGAGCATGAAACCAGCACCCAAACAACCGTCGCCCCGCTCGCGTCAGGACGGTGACTGCCTGGCTCGGGCGCTCGGGGTCGTGGTCGAGCGATTTGATGGTTCTGTGTAATGCGAAGACCGGATTAATACCCCCCCCCGTGGAAGGTCTAGAAGGTTTATTAATCCTATGTTTGCATTCGGGTGTGTAGCCAGATGTAGCCCAGTACACCAGTGACAGTAGGAAAAAAATCATATCACGATCTTTGAGATGTCGGCCTGCAACCTAGCCATCATCATCCACTGAAACCTGGTAATGGGATATATCCAGATTCTGTCATTGGTTGCAGCGGGGACTCGTCAGGGAGTGGTGAGAGGAGGGGGGAGGAGTCTTGAACCATTTTGGGTCAGAACGCTCACGTCGAGTGGATGAAAACACACACACACACACATATATATATATATATGCAAACTATAGTTCCTGGTCGTATTCAAGTTTGTTCAATCACGGCTTGCGCATTTCAACAGATAATTTGGCAGGAACGACATGGCAATCAGCAGCTATATTCATTCATCCTCATTATCCAGCCCCTCATCCATACACTTTCCACCTAGACCTAGCATATGACTTTGGACATGGGAACTCAAGCTGCTTTGACCTGGATGGATTACAGTAACCGAGGGGCGAACTCCGGGCGAACCTGAAGAGCCTTAGATATACATGGTTCTCATCACGCGTCGCAGCAATTGGTCAAAGAACTGAAGAATCTTGGTGCAGAGGTGAAGAAGGCACCGGAGACGTTTGGGGCACCCAGGGCTGATGAGTCTAAGCCATGTTGATGCCTGGCATCATTGCAGATCATTGCAGATTGGAAGACTCAGATGTGTACTTAGATGAGTTGGTTCCTTTGTTTGGTCTTGTGCGTTCTTCGGTCTCAACAAAAGTCGAAACCGCTTTGCAGAAGATTTGGGCAGCTCTAGCCCGGGCATTTTGGTCTTGCCACTCCCAATCAGATCCATATCGATTCTGGCTTCCACCAGTTCCACAAGTGGGTCTGACACCTTGCGGCTGGCGAGCCACCATTCCCTGAGGTCTGCTTCACAAGGGCCGAGGTTCTGAATGCCAAAGCTCAGCTCGAAGCATTGGGCAAGCGACGCTCGGGCCAAACACTGGGACGCTCAAGGATCGGTGGGGAACATGGAACACGAGGATTGCTGTGACCTTGTGAAAGAATGCAAATCTGATCAAACCAGAGGGGATGACATGGGGATACACTTTCGATTGGAGATGGTTGGAGGAAAAGAGTATGTAGCGCCTGAGATCGTGAACGGTATGCTTATATATAAATAGTTAGTTCCAGTGTGTTTGGTGCCAAGTGTTGTTTGATATCGAAGCTACTTCTGTCAACCAATAAACGTGCGTTGGATCGCATTGGGGCCCAAGAAGTTCCCGAAATACAGGGGAGTTGCTTTTACTTTACTCCTCTTTTAAACTATAGGGCGAAGCTGACCGACCAGACAGTGTTGGGGTGACCTTCCTACCCAGACAGAAGCGCTGATGTTGCAGCCACTCTCTTGTATGTTCCAACACGTCTCTTTCTTGGACAAAACAAGCAATGCGTATCAAAAATTACAAAGATACACACAATAATTAAGGTCAATATTCTTAGCTGCGCCCAATTTGTGCCACGTTGAACGCTAAAGAGATCCCAAAAAATCGACCACCTCCCCCGGTACCACCTGGACCTCTCCTCTTTCGACGCCCTGCTCTACCACACTGCTCTCCCACGTAAGGGCCCTGTGTGGTCTACGGCTCGCTGCCACCGGAAGTGCGGCAAGAGCAGGCGAGGAGAGCCTCCGAGGGGGCGGAAAGATGCCTTCGGCACCATAAAGGCACCAAGGAGCAGGAACCAGAGATGTGGCACAGGAACCTGCAGTGTTATGTGTGACACATACACATACGTACATACCAGTCGTTTTTTGTGCTCTGCGTGTGTGTAATTATAGATCGAACATGATCGAACTGGTTGTTTTGGCGGTTGACAATACGAGGAGATGAGCGATGGATAGCAAGAAGGAGAGAGCGAAGAAGTCATTGTGGACTGTTGTCGCAGCATTCGAGTGACAGCCATGAGGTAGGATCCAAATCATTATCCTACTACACCTACAGCTTCTTCAATCTTCTAGAAAGTCATGTTAACATCAGAGTTAACATGGCACATGATGTGAAATACATCTTTTGAGCTTTGGCATTTTGCTCATGAAGTGTTCTTCTCCAAACATGTTTTGCAAACGTTGGAAAGCCCGAAAAGACGGTTCGTGTGAGGCGTTACTGTTCAACGACCCCAACAGCGGTTACGACGTCCTGGTGGCCTCGGACGCCATTGCCTTGGGACGCTGGGTTGAGCGAGCGGGCATGAGTTCATGAAGAGTAGAGGTAAAGGGCATGAGCTCATGAACGTTAGATTCATGGACACTTGGAGATGTTTTTTGGAATACTTTTGTAAGTGGAAGTTGAATGAAGTTGATACTATTTCATACTAGCTTCGACTTGTATCAACTTGTTTGATTCTTAGCTTGGAGAGCGGACCCTAGTAATCAGAAGAAATCTCAACAGCTTGGCATTTGACCTCTGACAGTCGCCCGAGGATTAAACCTGCAGATTCGTCGGATGTTGTTTCGCTCCACCTGGAAGTTCGACGCTGGGCATCACCGGATGGCGGCGGAGGGAGGCGGGGTGGAGGCCGCTTGGGGAGGGGTGCTGCGGGGGAGGCCGGCCTGTCCTGAACAGGGGAGTTCAGGCTCGACTCATTTCTTTGGCCACTGAGTCGATTCAATTCAAGCATCAGTTGTGGGCACTCCAGGACAACGATGCACTAGACTTGACGACATGACTTGTGTTGAGCTGGGTCAGTAGCTGTGTGTGGAAGTCCAGCTGCTTTCTGTAGACGTGAAAGCAATCCAGAAACGCACCGGAAAGCATCCATTGCAAAACGCGTTGATGCGGTGTGAGCGTGAGTCGACTGAAGCCAAGCAAGCACAAGGCTCCACCCAAGGAGAAGTGGATAACTTTAAACATCCATATAACCTTTTTGGGGAGATTGGGTTTTCCCCGCTATACAATATGAACATATTATGAAATCAGATATTAAATGATGAACATATGGAACAGATGGGCCTGGGACAGTTCGGTTCACCTGTTGTTCGGACTCCGCGTGTGTGTTTTTTTGGCATCCGGCAGAAGAGCTCCATCTCGCATTTGCTCCATGCTCCTCTGCGCCGGTTTGCGCCGAGGACGGCTCGGAATACCGGCAGCTCAGTGGCCCCGAGCTACGGCAGTTGGCCGGGCGAGCAGGGCGCTTTGGGCAGGGCTATGGTCACGGCCTGGTGGCCTGCTGCAGAGGCGGTTTTTTGGGGGGATGTCCGGCCTGGCAGCATGCGCCGGCGTCCGCTTCTGCGGATTGGACGGGGAAAGGTGGAGAAGGGGAGAATCCACGCTGACCTACTTAGACCAGAAATGTCCTTAGAGGCCATCTTCAACTCGCCGTACGTTGGATCATCGTTGGCCCCGTTCGGGTGCCGGCCAGAACCTCGGACCTTTCGATCACCATTGATCACTGTGATTGGGGTACGGTTTTGGTACCAAATGAGGCACATGTTCTAACATCGATCTGGGTATGCATTCTCAATTTGGGAGATCGACTGGTTTGTTTGTCCTGAAGATGGGGCCTCTCGGTCTCTATGTCGAAAGGGTGATGGGAGGTGAGAGGATGAGCTTCCCCCACTAATTAGGCGAAGTAACTAATTAGGCGAAGTAATTTGGGGATGATGTTGGAGAGCATGACAAAGCCATCTCCGCAGGTGATGACCTGGCAATTCTCCGGGAAGCTCTTGAGGCCTCGTTTAGTTTTTGTTTCGACCTTTGTGTTGTCCGTTGTTGTCAGTCCTCGCGATCCTTCCAACAATCATGGAAGGCCGCAGATGTGCAACATTGAGCATGGTCGAAAACAGGGACCGAACTGTTCCACGTCCATGATAGTTCCAGTCTTTAATCAGGTTGAGTTCGTTTTGCTAGGTGCTCATGAGTCTTAGTAGAAAACGTGCACTCATGGAAATGGGGTTGGTCCAGGTAGCCTTCCATGCCTTGATTTCAGATCCTTTTCAGCACTCCAAACATCCAATTTTGCTTGGTGGGCTGCCGTTGAAGGAGTCTGGAGAAGGAACTCTCAAGGAAGGGGCCTGAGATGCCTCATTCTTCCAGGCAACCTCCAACCCATGCCCGTTTGCACCGATGTTCGAACCGCTTCTTCTTGGCAAATGCTCAGGCCCAGGTGTAGGCTTCGGTGGCTTCACGAACCAGGCCTTAGCCCAAACGTATTATGTATAATTAACTATATATAGTATGTATTAATGTATATTACTCCGCCCTGGTTTGAAGGAGGCCCTCCGAAGACCAAAACTTAATTTACAATCCCTATCCGGGGAAGAACGCATGTTCCAGAAGATGAGTGAACAGAGCGTAGGACTAGTCCTGCAAGACTCATGAAATGAAGGCCAACAGCAGAAGTTTGCTCTATTTGATGTGCTTCTGAGGTTCTCAAGGTTGGGTTGTTGGTAGGTACATCCTCCTTGTTGCTGGGATGCCATGTTCATCCGTTGCAGTGGGCCACTTGGGCGGTGGTTGCTTGTGGCGCTTGCGGCATGGCTTTGTTTGAGTGCTTATACCTATGGATCTCAGCTTACGGCCTTCCTTCAGAAGAAATGGGCTCCAGGACTGCATCCACATCAAGCTGCGAGAGGAAACTCCAGTGACTCCCTTCGGAACACCTCCGCTCCGACTCACGTAGTCCTCCACGCGGTCTCCAATCGGTCGAAGGAAGCGGTGAGAAGACCAAGCACGGGAATCAAAGTGAACAGGATCATGGGGCCAATTCCAAGTCTCGTTCTGGCTGGAGTAGACAAGGGTGGAACCTCTGAAGCATATCAAATGCTACACCAGGAATTCCTGCTGGAAGACGGTGGTGGACAGCACAAAGAATTGGGCTGCTTGTATCAGGTGTCTTCTATTCCTGGCAAGGAGCTTGCAAAGGTTCGAAGTTGCTATTCAGCATTTTTCCATGAGCTTGGCACCAATGCGTCCGAGCACATTTTGCCCGTCGATGCAACACCAAACTATCTCTACTCGAATCGGCTTCACCCATTGGCTTTGTCGCCACCCAAAGTCCTGTCAGTCATCTCCCCGCAGGCCAGCGTGGTGTTCCTCCTCCGCGAGCCGATCAGCCGCATTCGAAGCCTGTACAATCACTTCTGGCACCAGTCAGCTAGATGGGATTTAAGCGGGGGTTTGCAAGATCAGATCAAAGAGGAACTGATGTTTGTGCGAAGAATCAAAAGGCAAGCTCACACTCGCAGCCTTTTTGCTGGTTTCATGCATGCCGAGTGTGTGAATCAGACGAATCAGAGCAGCTGCAACATGTGGGACTTTTGGATCCAACTCCGGCATCAGTTCTTGATCTTCATTCGGAACGTGAGGCGTAACCGTAGCCCCAAGATTGATGGCAAAGCCATCATGCCATATGTCCTCACTGCGATGTACTTTCCATTTCTTTACACCTGGCTACAGTTCTTTCACCGAGTTGCAGTGATTCAAGCTGAGTACTTCTTTCAGGACACCTCTCGTTTGTGGCAGATCTTGGGTATTCAACCACATCAGGCTGCTGCCCTTCATCCTGGACAACCCCCCCTTGAACAGTCATCCCTATGACAACAGTTCCATGCTGTCGACGAAAGTGCAAAAACATATGCGATGTGTTTTTGCACAGCTCCTCGACCTAAAGGACTGCTTGGCTTGGTTGGTGATCCCTCCAGGACCAGAACTCCAGCTAAAACCATCAGTACCAATGAATTGTACCTGGGCCCTTGGGCCATGTAGGATCTACATGTGTGAATACAAAAAAAAACAAAAAAATATATATATATATACATACAAATAGTTTTATCTATATATATATATACACATACAGTATACACCTACCTGTTTGTGATATGGGCCCAAGAGATACAAACACTTAGCATTCTGAGCATCATGTAAGGCCAAATGCTTTGCTGCGCAGCTACCTGGAGAAACTGACTTTGGAGGGTGTCGCAGTGATGCCAAGGATTGCAAGCTCCAGCTGGTGGTGGATCAGGGCTTATAAGAAGAAGCTGCCCCAGCGCCCATGACACGCGGAAATGATTTCGCAGCTCGCTGCCCGATGTGAGACGTGCTTTTTTGGCGAATGGATGAAGGAGGGACTGAAGAGGTATAGAATTCCCCACCAGTCCTTCAGTCAACCAGTGGGTACAGTTTCGACTATAGCTGGTAGCCAGAGCCAGAAACCCTGGTTCTTTATAGTTGTATTTGGCATCCACTGGGCAAGCTACCAGCAAACGGAACTATCAGAGCCTCCATGAGGTCAGTCATAGGCTTCCCAATCTGGGACAGGTGCAATAGCTGCTGGATGTTACATCACATGCGGCAGGTTTAACATATGAAAATCATGTTGCAGTTTTTTTGGTGTGTGTGTGTGTCACCCCCTGTTCCTAAGGGTTCCAAGTCACCTTTCTTTTTCCACCACTTCTGCAGGGGGACGGGACACCGCTGGCACTGCCCGTCCAACGAAGAGGGTGCCAGTCGGTGCTGAAGCAGTGGAGGACGCTCCACTGTGTACCTGCCTGAAACACACTGACACCACTGGTCCACCCTGCCGCTGTTCGTTGGTTCCATGGTCCTTCTTCACGATACTCTCCCACAAACAGGTTTCCCACCGCAGTTCTCAGCCGCTCGTGAGTTGCAGCCGGCCGCGCAAGATTTCGATCACTGAGTTCAACATTTGTTCAACATTTCAGTTGCGCTGACCTTTTCACCTTACGTTTCCCTCACCTTCCTTCTCGATGTGGGAATTGAGTTAACAGCAAACCAATGTCAGAGTGTGAACCGCTCAGCCGTCCCACTTGGGTGCTGGGTGTGATCCTCCGCAAGGAGGCGCTGCAATCATTCCGGAATTCGTGTTACTGATTCTTCGTTTCCACCACTCGTTGGATTCTCTTAACCGATTTCTTTTCACCTTGAATTAACTGCCTTTTGAGCCGCCGGGCTAATATGGTGAACCCTTTTGATTACTGAACCTTTGGCATGTCATTTCATTGCATGTTCATTTTTTCGGTGTGCAGCTGACTTTTGAGTTTCAAGTATGTACAGTCGATTCACCTTCAGTCTCTCACCACAGATGTTCCACACATTTGTCTCACCACCTACAGATTTTTCATCTCATGCCATTTCATAATCACGTTTTCAGACACCCTTCAACTTTCATTCGCTGCCGGAGCGCTGCGCGGGCGCCATTTTGCAGCTGACTGCTACTACGAACACAGCCCCAATGCAATACCCGTGGCCATACCCATACTTGACACATCAATCACCACCTACAACAGCACCGACATTTCCACTCCCACAGACGCAACCTCACATGCCTGCCATGATTTCGCACATGCCGGCTACTATGCCACCTTTCCCGCAGCCAACCTGGCCGCCTACAACCCAATTTCAACCACCACCACAACATTTACCTCAAGTACCACATCATCATCGCGCCATTCCTTTTCCATACGCGCTACCTCCACAGGAGCCCATACCACCACATTCTCCAACCATGGTTCCCCCGCAACAAGCACCTGCTTCGAACACTCAACCAACCCCACAGCAAGTATCGCAGCCAGCACCAACGCAATGGGACTACAATGACTACAACCAAGGAGTTTGGCAACCGTTCTCGGCCTTTCCACCAGTCACCCAACCGGGGCAAGTTCAGCGAGGCCAAGTTCCTGCGGCCGCCACCTCGGCCCCTTCCGACCCTTCTCACCTTACAGCAACACCTTCACCTCTCACTGCAGCGACCATTGGCCCACAGTCACCCACCTCTACAGCACCCTCAGCACCGGAAGGCCATACTGCCACAACCGTCGACCAGACATCCTCGACTCTTCTACCTCCACCGACCACACCTCCACCCTCCACTCCAGCAGGTTCAGGTCAGTCAGACAACCCCAACGATGCACGACCTTCAGCTCCACCACCTTCCCACCCAATCATTTCAACACCACAACCACCACCGCCACCCAAACCTCCCAGCCGCCGTGAACGCGGCCACCGCCGACACCATCACCGCCGCCACCGACATCACAATAGGGGCAGACGCACTCACCGCCACCACCGAACACACAAACACCGTTCATCGCGACACCACCGCTCGCGATCCCCTTCCACTTCATCCTACTCTTCTTCTTACAGCAGATCACGCAGCCGCTCCAGACAACCCATCTCACTTCTCCCAAACAACGACTCACTGCAACCAGATGCTGTCACAAACCAATCACAAACCAACTATCCCAACATTCCAGCCCTTCGCAGGCCCACCAAGCCTTGGCGGCCATCCTCACAGTTCCAACAACGAACACCACAAGAACAGTTGGAACTTTGGCTTGACTATCATGCAGATCAACTCGACGCACCCAACAAACCCCAACACACCTACGTCGCCAGCTTGCTATTGGACAGCGGCCTCACATACAAAGACATCTCTGACTACAGGCAATTCACTCACATCAAATGGAATGACACCACCAACACCCACGACATTTACCAGTACCACTCCATTACCATTCCCAGCCTGGTACAAAAAGCAACTCGACGGTTCCCACCACCAGCGACACGTGCAACTTCCACCTCACCAGAACTGGTCCATATCAATGCCGGCCACACTGGCCCTCTCGGCAATATCACCAACATCCTTCAGCAGGGCCGTTTCCTACCCAGCACCCTCCACTTCCCCAACAACCCTGGCTTCTTCGCACAAGGAGTTCGCATCACACAACAACCACAACATGACAACGCAGAACATGCCCGTATTCTCCACAACACTTGGAACCTTGCCAAGAACACACATTCCATCCTCGTCACCTTACTTGCTTGGGGACAAGGTACCAAGTTTACCAGCGGCGGGGAGGAGCAAGCCATGAATCTCCTCCTACAACAGCACGGTGCAGTCTGCCACGCCAAGGCCCGATGCTGGGTCATACAGCGCCGGTAGCCAGCGCTTGGCTCTCTCCGGCTTAGCTTCCCGACTACATGCAATAGACACATAAACCTTTCCACCCACTACTGCAGCGGCAGCGGCTGAAGAGCTTGTCAGGCTATATGTCCAAAAAGGACATGACCCAACTGCGTGCCGGCGTTTTTTGAGAAAAACAGACGTCACTGGCTCTTCAAGCACCTGCGCCGACTTCGGCTATTTGTGTGTGTCACCCCCTGTTCCTAAGGGTTCCAAGTCACCTTTCTTTTTCCACCACTTCTGCATGGGGACGGGACACCGCCGGCACTGCCCGTGCAACGAAGAGGGTGCCAGTCGGTGCTGAAGCAGTGGAGGACGCTCCACTGTGTACCTGCCTGAAACACACTGACACCACTGGTCCACCCTGCCGCTGTTCGTTGGTTCCATGGTCCTTCTTCACGATACTCTCCCACAAACAGGTTTCCCACCGCAGTTCTCAGCCGCTCGTGAGTTGCAGCCGGCCGCGCGAGATTTCGATCACTGAGTTCAACATTTGTTCAACATTTCAGTTGCGCTGACCTTTTCACCTTACGTTTCCCTCACCTTCCTTCTCCACGTGGGAATTGAGTTAACAGCAAACCAATGTCAGAGTGTGTGCGCATGATCTCCAGCTTTTCCCAGCTAGTTCTGTGCCCGCGAGAGAGAGAGAGAGAGAGAGAAAGATGGAGGGAGAAGAACAGAGAGAGAGAGAGAGGATTTGCGTTTCACGCAACCTCGCAACCTGCAGGTGGGATTTTAGACTAAGCAAATGGAGTGGATCCTCAGATCCCCCCATTCCCTATCCCTACCCGAGCCCGAGCGGGCCCCCCCGGAAGCTTGCTGGAAGTGATGAGAGGAACCTATTGTTTCTTGCTCACCGACGGTCACCGAACCCAATGCCCTTTCTGAGGCGCATGAGGCTCACAGGTGGTTTCTGGGAAAAACGCCAGCGTTCAGAGTCGCACCACCAGGTTTTGAAAGAGTCACACTGTACCATAAAGTTCGAAGAATGTATGTCAAAACTTTTACTTGAACCACTTTCAAAACACCAATGGATGTTTTGTTGTATAATTAGTGGGAATTGCATGACAACCATCATCCAGTATTTGTCTGACAGGTTTTGGCCGTAGCTCATTTGTTCTCAAGCATGCGCTCTCCGCGCTGCCATGGCCATCCATTTGCTCGGGAGATTGCTCTTTGTGGCCTGGACAGGTCTCAGCATCATGGCTTTCATGTCCCGAACATCTCGGGGAACAAGAGCACAATCCTTCTTTCAAGAGGCCAGGCAGGATCCTAGCCATCCTAGCAGCTTTGCCCCTCGTTCTGACGCTCGAGCTGATCCATTTGGAAGCGCGAGACCTGTGACAGGAAGCGGGACACTCGGCAGTGAAGAATGAATTGCATAACATATATATATATATATATTTATTTTTAACATAATATAACCTCATGTGTAATTAACGGATATGAACTTGAACGGTCCTTTATACAGACCTTTGCTGATCATGGTAGTTGATCCAGTTTGTCTAGAACCCCCAAAGAGAGTATCCGAAAATCATTTCATTTGTGTGTGCTGTTTTCAGTTTTACCTTTTTTCTCAGCCGCTTTGGACAAACGAGGAAACATGTGGGAGGCTCATCCACCAGTCTAGTTCTGACGCTAGCACGAAATTCCTCCGTACAATCTTCGGAAGGACAAGAAAGCTCTAAGCCATTGAAACGCACCACAGTCACCACGACGATGACCGCACCGACCACGACAAAGAGACCAAGCATGGGAATCAAAGTGAAAAGGATCATGGGGCCAATTCCCAGTCTGGTTATCCCTGGAATAGACAAAGGTGGAACGACTGAAGCATATGCAATGCTTCACCGAGAATTCCTGCTGGAAGACGGTGGTGGAAACCACAAAGAATTGGGCTGCTTGTATCAGGCATTTCCAATTCCCGGCCAGGAGCTTGCAAAGGTTCGAAGTTGCTATTCAGCATTTTTCCATGAGCTTGGCACCAATGCGTCCGAGCACATTTTGCCCGTCGATGCAACACCAAACTATCTCTACTCGAATCAGCCTAACCCATTGGCTTTGTCGCCACCAAAAGTCCTGTCAGTAATCTCCCCACAGGCCAGCGTGTTGTTCCTCCTCCGTGAGCCGATCAGCCGCATTCGAAGCCTGTACAATTTTTGGTGGCGCTTTCCGACAGCATGGGATTCCACAGGTTCTTTGGAAGAACAACTGGAAGAGGAACTCGAGTTCCTGAAGAATATTCAATTGAAGGACCAACACCTTTTTGCTGGTTTCATGGATGCTAGGTGTGTCAAGGAGAACTCTTGCAACGTTTGGGACTTTTGGATCCAACTCAGGGCAGCATTCCAGCCAGCTATTCGGAACGTGCGGCGTGGGCGCAACCCCAGGATCGATCGCAAGCCCATCATGGCATATGTGTTCACTTCGATGTACTTTCCATTTCTTTACACCTGGCTACAGTTCTTTCACCGAGTTGCAGTGATTCAGAGTGAGTACTTCTTTCAGAACACCTCTCGTTTGTGGCAGATCTTGGGTATTCAACCACATCAGACTGCTCCGCTTCATCCTCCAGGACGGCCCATCAACAAGGTACCCTACGGTGAAAGTGCCAACCTTTCTGAAGCTTTGCGGGGACGTTTGCAGGTGGTCTTCAGACAGCTCCTGAGAAGATTTAGACATTGAAGTTTTGCTGTCATGAAATGTCATGAAGACCTAGTTCCTATGGGCCCATACGAGCCACGATCAAGAAAAAGAATAGGTTTTGAGCATGTCGATGGTCTCTTAGCTTTGTCAACACGACTTAGACCCTAACATGGCACAGACGAAACCAAGTCTCGAGGCCCAATGCTCTACTGCGCAAGTACCTTGCGAGACTGGCCAGTCAGGGTGTCGCTGTGATGCCATCCATTAGCAACTCCAGCTGGTGGGTTGAGAACACATAGGGCAACCGCCAGCCATGACACACAAAGATGTGGGATGATTGGACGAGTGAACTACCCATCGATGTGACTTATAGTGCGCAAGACCAATTCTGCGCGGTGATGTGGGATGATAGACATCGCCACCCAAAGTTGGAAATGAGAAAGGCGCCTGTGTGATGTGCAGCGTTGCCAGTCCTTCCTTTCCCCCCATCCTTGTTCCGGAAGCGTCCGGATGGTGTGATGGCAGGTGATTGCATGTGATGGCACGTTCTCCAAGCGTTGGCATGGCATTTTCGACCAATGGGCACATCTTGGCCGGTTAAGAACTCTAAGGGTCGAGCTTCCCCCTCATGATGGGGAAGTCACTAAAAGCACACGGTTGGTTGGCCAGACCGGTCATACAGGGCCGTACAACATGATACACCCTGGAAGACGATCCCATGGACTTGAAAACCACGTCGATTGGTAGAGGAAAACAATCTTCCAGGGGGCCAGGACGTCAGGGTCTATGTTAGTTTTCGGGAGTGTACAACCACTCGCGCTCCCATCAGAGCGTCCCACCCCTTCTTAGTGAGTCGGAGTGCCGACCCTCGGTCTCCGCACCGAGCCCTTTCGCGTCAGGCGAAGCCACAAGGCGATGAGATGGCAAGGGCGGCGTTGCTGCCCTTACCGGAACAGCTGGACGCTGGCTCCTGAGTTTGTCGTGGTGGGTCAGCTGAAGTCTGGTGGGAGCCAAAACGACTTCAGACTCGGCTCGTCCAGAAGTTCGGACGAACAGGGACACTCCGAAGGATTCCAAAGATGGTGGCCATGTTGACCCCGCAAATCACCGGTTTTCCGGAGCTTCTCACACTTGGCTAAAAGATGAACTCCTCCCTGCTCGCGCCTCGCTCCGTCCCAGGAGCTCTTCGGACAGTGTTTGGAAGAAGACCTCCAACGAGGACCTCTTCCCTTCGCCTTGCTGGTGGAGCGTAGCTGGTCCGAGCGGTTGGGAGGGAAATGCTTCCTTTGCTTGTTTGTGATGTGCCCAGGTCTCCTTCCATTTCCTTCCCATTTCAGAGATGTCAGACGAGCGAGAATTGTTTGGGTCAACCTTTTCAGGCCCTTTCAGATGATGGTCCCCACATCCAAACATTTCCAGGACTGGAACTAGCATGGACTGTTTCAGATGATGTTTTGACATTCTTCAGAGCTTTTTGGATGAAATGGTGGTCAGTTGCAACTGTTGACACGTTTGTCTCGATGTAAAGTGAAACACTGGTGCAGGGTATATATATATATTGTACTATATTGTGATTTATAAACATCATTATACATATAATGTCTAATGTAATCATACATATGTATCTATGTTATGTATTTGTTGTAACCTGATGTGGGGAGATCATAAGAACTTGTGAAGGATAATTCTTGGGTTGAGGAGGTTCTTGAGTGGGAAGCGGGAGCAGACCAAATCACGCTTCAGATGCTCTGCCGAGGTTTTTCTCGTGTCCATGCGATGTTTTGGGGATTGAGTTGAGAGTTGAATTCACTTGACATGAGTCTTGAACCCCACGCCAGATGTGTTCTTATATATATATATATATCGGTTCTTAATTAGTTTTTCTTCAGCCAGGGTGGTGAAGGCTCCTGAGACTGCTGCCGTCGGTGCTGGCATTCAGGCTTCCTATCAATTGCCGATGTTTCGCCACGCTATTTCTTGGCGCAAGCCAAGAGTTTGATTGCTCCTTGTCTTCATACGCAGTGCATGTCTTGGAAGATAATGGGTTTTCAATATTGGTTTTCACTAGATGCAGCCTTGCCAAAAGCGTGAATTTGCATTTGCAGGTGATCCAAGTTTGTGTTAGTTGCTCCTTGAATGTAGCAGCTTGTGGAAAACAGAGCGCCGTTGTACAAGTCGATTTGAACAATTGCGCTTTCACAGTGGTTGGGTGTATATGCTAGCCTCTCTCATTTCATAAGCAACATGAAGCAACCAGCTTTCTGAAAAGGAAGGGATCACGCCCTTAGAAACTGCCATGTTCAAAAGGACGGGGAGACGACGGGGGACGTTGAGAAAGAACGGTCTCTTGGGTTCGGCTTCGCAGACGTCGGCCGAAGCGAACTCACCTGGTGAAACCACCGGTGCCACCTGGTCCGACCGAGGCCCTAGCGCACTTCTTGGAGGAGGTGAGCATGCCTCATCGGGACTGCCCGGGCTTTGGGGGCTTTGGGGCTTTGGTGTCCGCACAGATCTGCAGATCTGCACAGATCAATGAATCAGACCCGAGGAATTCCGGATTTGTGGACATTGAAAAGTGGTGGGAGAGCAGATAGTTTTGATGTTCAACCTTCTCTTGCGACTGGGATCCTTGGAGGCCCATTTGGGTTCCTTTGTGGGTGAGGCATTTGTTCCACCACCAAGCTTGGTGATAGCTCGAAATGGTCCTCACCAAGCTCCATGCGTTCGATCCCCCGGAAGACCCAGGAGAAGTTTGTCTTTTGCCAAGCGCCCGTCACGCTCAGCGACGTGGCGCCCTTGAGCGCGCCGCTGGGCTTCTGACCCAGAAGGCGGCCGTGGTGTCAGAGTATACAGATGGCACTACAGATGACACTGATGCACCCCGAGAAAGGGGTGTGTGTGTGTGTTCTGAATAAGATGGGGGGGCTATATAATATAAACCACCAACCGTGTAGATTTTGAACATGTACTTTCAATCCTCCAACCAGAAAATGCTTCCGTGGATGACCCCTGGAAAGAGCCATGAAATCAACAAAGGGATTGTCCGCGTCTGGAAGTCGGAGCCGAGGGTACCGACTCACGTCGCATTTTTTCGAGCTGCGATCTCTGGGAGAAGCTGCTTTAAGCTGCTCCAACTCACCGAACTTGGTACGCTCTCAGGGTGCTGAAGAATCAGAGCAAACTATGGAACAGATAGATCCCTAGAAGTCCAGCTCGACTCTATATTTGGCACCACCGAAGAAAAGGACAACTCGAGTTTCAGGTCAACGACTGCAATTTCTTAGGTCTGATACAAATGATTTTGGACTTCCAGGGTAGTATGCAGTTATTGTCTTTTAGCAAGTTTTTTACTATGTTTTAATAAAATGTTATGCTCCGGCATGGTATCTTTAATTTGGCCCACCTCATGGGCATGGGCCACAGACAAGAGGGCGCGAAAGTTGGGTGAATTAGCATGGGAGTTAGCATGGAAAACACCTTCCACATGAAGCACTTCAAACCTGGAGCAACAATCAAGAGGGTACAGGGTGGTACAGGTAAGAAAGAGATAGAGTATAGATAGACGTGTTATGACGTGTTGACCTTTCACTTGATATACTGTAGAGAGCTCCACCAGTCTGACAGTTTTGGAGAATGGATTCGTGTCCTGTTCGCTGTCCCCCCTGTCACACTCGTCAGGACGTAGAGGTCCACAGAGCATGACTGGGGCTGTGACCCGGATGTGACCGGTGAAGCCACAGCCCAAACCATCGAGGCAATGCCAGCACCAGTGAGGTGCCCCTACTGCAGCTTTGAAGTCCACCAACCGTGTTGAAGACCATTCGTTGATCCCTCAGAAATACCCACACGTGTATCCTACCTGTCAGGCATTGTCTATGTGGTACACTTCCCAGATCTTCTGCACCTGAGTGAAATCGCTTTCTGTATGGTTCCTTCGAGTCTTTCTCACCTCACCCGTTGGCTCATCACTACCCTGCGTCCCTGCGTTTGCCCGGCACCGATCCCCGTGGCGGTTCCCAGGCTTCAGCACTTTGCGCGCGCCTATGCGCTGCGGAAGACGGTGCCCTTCCCCTACGCCGTGGGCGACACGGAAGCCGTCACCACACGTCGGAGCCATCAGGGTCGGGCCGGGACGGAGGATTAGAAGGGTGACGGAAGAATTAGTTGGGGAGCCAAACTCATGATTAAAAGGTAGTTTCATTCAAGTTTTGCTGTAACACCTCAGGTTTTTGGATGGATTTGTTGAGGCTGTAGAAGTATATAATGTATATAGAACCTTTCTTCACGTCCAGTGACTGGCTCATGTACCTTGACTGCTCGAGGACAACTCATGGACTTTGGGACCTGTATTTAGTTGATGCTTCATTTTCTCTTGCCAGTGTATGTGTGCGCATGGTTCTTTTGCTTGGCGGTGGGGTGGATGGACGTGATGCAGCTGTTTCTACCAGACCAGGGCTGGTCGGACCAGCCAGGCCGCCCATCGCCCCAGAACACCCATGGCGGAGAGCAGCGGAGGAGAGGACCTGACCCTGCAGCATGTGGTCGTGCTGGGCATTTTGTTCAACATGATGATGTTTCATGTTCGTTTGGCGAAGCCAGACATCCTCAGTGCCCTGAATGTCCTACGGACTTGGGCACAAAATCAAGAAGTCTCCAGACGAGAGAAGCAAAAGCAACTTCGTGTGGAGGAGCAAATGTGTCCTGTCCTGCACCAAGTGCATCCTAGACTTCAACATTGTCCAACATTGTTGAACTGTTAAACTCCTTATGTCCTTATGTGACAAAAACAGACCGACCATCGCCACTCAGACCGACCAACATATGATTCATAATAATGATGATGTAATAGACTATACCGGGACCCTCCAAAGGGTGCCCAATGGAAGCCATAGGTCGTGTGGGGTAGTCCATACCAGGCACCCCGACAGGAGGGTCTTGGTATGTCGGAGACCGTCAAAACCTCAAGCGGTCGACACACCTCAACAGAACCCCGGTCTTCGGATTTCATGGGATGACTCCCGTCCATCGGAAAGCCATGGCCATCCACTTGATGCCCTCCACCGGTCCAGGATCATTCTAAGAGGTTCTACTCGACCTTCGACCTTCGACCTTCGTCGACCTTCGCCCTAGTTTTGAAGAGGTCGCCAGAAATCTCTGGTCCAGTCATTGGTTTCATCACCTCCATTCGTTTGCTGCACCCCAGGTTTCAGGCTCGCCTGCATAATCTTCGGATGGCCTCCAGGTTCTTAGTGCACCTTTCGATGTTCGCCATTTTGGTGTTCTCCTGGAGACTCTTTTGCTCCCCGAGCTGGCCCAATGCGTGCCGTGTGCTGGTCACTTCTTTCGTGTACGGCTTTGACACTCTGACCAATCTGAAGGTGGTGCAGGTCACAACTGCTTTTCAATGGCGCCTAGCAGAAGGCATGCTGTTGACTAGTCATGCCATCTTTGTTCTCGCCAATGCCACCACTGATGTTGGGGAGTTCCTCGCCCTGGACAGGCTCTCAAGCCTGATATTCTTTGTGATAGCTTTTGTCTTTATGGACTCCTCCGTCACGGTGCCAGTGTACTGCTTCGAAGCTCTCCTCCAGTTCTTCAGATACTCGAAGCTCGCAGGGGACTTGAGTTCACTGCAGGTCTATTCCGCACTCGTCTCGAGCGTTTTGATCATGGTGACGATTATTTTGTTGGAGCAGGTCATGCGAGCAAGTCGTTCTGACTTGGTCACAAAATAACTTTTGAGCTTTTGGGAAGTTGCTTTCACCATATCATAGTGGATCATAGTTTACCCGTGTCATCATGTTTCCCAGAAGTAGAGCTTCTTTTGTTGCGCAGAGTCGTAGGTATTAGAGCGTCCCTTGAATCTGGAGATGCATCTTCTCTAGTGCTTGGCTTCCGACGACTACTTCGAGGAGTTTGTGATGGAGACCTGCTCTTGGACCAAGACTTTGTGATTTCAGATGATGCGAGTGGCCTGGAGCACCTCTTGAAAATCCAGAAGCTCAAGGACAAGAATTTCCTTGACCTCTTTCTGGAGGATGAAAGCCGAGAGGCTTTTCGGAGCTTCGTTGACACCAACTCCCAGCAGCCCATGCCCCGCGGGCTGAGGGTCTCCTTGCAGGGGGCCTATGGTCCAGTGTCCATGGATATCTTCCAGACTCCAATTCCAGCTCTAGGGCCCGGGCATCGTGTGCTGGCCATCAAGGGAGACCTGGATGTACCAATTCCCGATGCCTTGCCTGGTTCGACTCCTGTCCTAACGGGACCCGACTCCCCAACGAAAAGCCCCTTGTCACCAAGGAGCATCACAAGCGAGGTCACCGTTGAAGCCTATGAAGAACTTGTGCAAGTGTCATTCTTGGTGAACAATTCGGGGGGGCTCTTAGACATCTTGGAGGCTCGCATCAAGTTCAAGCGACAGTCAGAGGCATCTAAGCTCAGGTTAGGAATGCCGACCCTGCGGGGCATTCTACGGCCAGGCGACTGTGCTTTGGTTGAGAGAACATTGGCCTCTTCCTTTCAAAGCAGATCTTCCCCAGGCCAGCGGAAGCATCTCAAGACCCCTTTGTTGCTCAGATTGCTGGGTGAAGCTCGGGCCAGCTATGTTCGGGCCAGGACAGCATATGTCACCTTGCCTGAGGACACTTGGGGAGCAAATGCTCCCAGCTTTTGGATGAAGTTGAAGGATTTTGATCCCCTTCCGAGGGAGCTGGAAGGCATTCGCGAAGAAGGAGGTCACGGATCTCTGATTCGTCATGACATTTCTCCAGATTCCAGCGGGTTGACCACAAAGAAGGAGGTATAAGTCAAAGAGGACCCACCACGTCATCAAAGCAAACATATATCAAACCCACAGGTTCACTCACTCAGTGTGGAGCCCGAGAGACGGTGGCTCCGATCACCAGTGTCTGGGGACCTATTTTCCTGTACATAGAGCGAATACAGCACTGGAATGAGGAAGATCGTTCCTCCTCCAAAATGGCATGCTCTTTCATTTTGGCTTCTCTTGCAGATCTTGAATATGTTTGTTTTTCGATGCGATGATGAGGCCAGAGGTCCCCCTGCATGGAGGTTCCTTTGTCCGATTCACAGGCATCTCTTCTGGACCGCCCAAAGCAGTAAAAAGCCCTTTCTGATCGTGGAGACCCAAAGCATGGTTTCTGTGTTTGGCGCCCAACCCGGAGACCGCCAACATCTGCAAACAGCATGGATCTCTTCTTTTTGCTTCAGCTTTTCAAGCACGTAAATTCATTCAGGTCAGATCTTAGAGCTGGAGGCTTTGCACAAAGCCGCTTGGATGAGCAGAACGTGAGCAGGAAACGATGTTCTGGGGTGCTATTTTTCCTGGAAAGGCCACCATTTTCCCTTTATAATGTAGACTGTTGACGAATAAAGCCCCCGCATATGGAGACACACAAACCTTGTAAAACCATTTGGGTACGGTATATAGGGTGGAATTTATTGACCAACAGGGCAACATGAGGGCGTTGTATGTGTACTACACCACCCACCATTACTACACCATCCACCATTTTTCTTGGAGGGGGCTTTCCACGGGAAAGGATGGGCCTCCTTCACACTCGGCCTAGCAACGTTCGGGCTTGGACGTGCGCAAGCTGGATTCAGTGAAGCTCAGAGAGGAGAACACTAAAGTCAATGAACGTCATATGTATGGTCATTTTTCGGGAAGTCGAGAGGGGCATCTAGAGAACATAGCATCAGTGATACCAACATGTTTAGTTTTAGGCACCAAGATCTATAGGTCCAGTTCCACTGACAGGAGCTTCTAGATTACAAGATCGACACCGGCAAAATGGCCGGCCGCCGAACCTCTCCAGGCAACCACACGGCTGGGTCGACATCGCACCTCCAGTGGACAACGGCCGATTTGTAGATGAACATGGTCATTTTTGGAAGTGGGCCATGTCATCCACATAGCCATGATTTCAGGCTAGCGAGTGTACCATCCGGGACCATCACCCCAACACTCCATGCGACTGTCCCATAGACTTGCACATATTTTGCCGATCAGCTTGGGGTGCTTGACACAGGGGCCACCTTTTGTGTGTGGTTGTTCGTTCTGCTTTTCTAGCATTACTGTATATTTTTGGACGTTGGCGGTGACTGTTTGACCGGTGTATCTTCCAATATCTTCCATACATGGAGTACAGATGAGTACAGTATTTGGAAGACTCACATGGAACCTGAACCCCCTGGTTGGTAGAGGAAAATCGTCTTCCATGGGACCAGGATGTCAGGGTCTATGTGAGTTGACTCGGGAGTGTATTTGGATGTAGACATGGGACCATGTACCATCACGTCTCTCGGAAGTCCAGCTCCAGGCGTTGCGCACTTGGCTCCCACAAGCCTACCCAGTCAGCAAATCAGCTTGAACCTGCTTTGAGGAGTGTTCTTCTTCCAACTCAATAAGGACAGTGTGGGAAAAATCCGAAACTGTTGAATAAAACATGGTTAAAGCCAAGCACTTCGATACTGGATGGATGCTGTTAACAAATCAGGCAGTGAGGCAAGAATTGGTGTCCAAAAGAATCTCAGCGTCCTCCAGACCTTGCGAAGAAGTGTGGGCGGCTGCCGGCTGCTCCAATTCTTTACAACCAGTTCACCGACCACAATGTCCAACCATCTCAATTCTTTTACAACCATTACAACAGTTTCCAATTCTTGGTTTTCTTTTCCAACAAGTCCAAGCCGACACACTTCCTTCTTTTTGCTCGAAAAAAGAACTTGGCCGCAAGACCAGCAGCCATGGACGAAGCCCAAGCAGAAGAAGAGAATCCAGATGGCCCTGACGCCCTGGGAAATTTGCTGCAACACTTCAGAGTAGCTTGGACCATCAAACAGTAACACAAGTTAAAAGTTGGGTGTGTATTGAAAGGATTAGGGAGACCTCCCAGTTCGACCCCCTGGAAGAAGGAAAATAGACCAGGAGGTAGACAAGGCTACTGTACCCATGGGTTGAGGGTTCTCCCTACTCAAATGCACACCCCGTTGATGTTGTTTCGGCCAGAGCTGGCCAGACATCGATTTCCTGTGACCGCAACCGTAACCCCCTGATCGATGCTCAAACCGCAATGGGGTGCCGTAACTTGTGGCGAGCACTCGACGGTAGTAGTTTGGATCGACACTGGACCGCCCACCTGACGCAGGAACACGAACGGGGAACGGGGGAAAAGGCATCGAATGACGACCTCCTCACCATCTCTCTCCTCCACGTCGAGCCAGGTGTTGTCCGTGCTGTTTCCCTCAAGTGGAAGACAATGTCCATCTCAAAAAGACTAGAAAACGGACCATGGGAAGAGCATTTTCCCCTACAACACCGGTGTTTTCAGGTAAGGGTGTAATTTGGTGGTGGCAACAGTGGCCAGATATCAGGTGAGTTGTTTAGCCCGCACGACGATAAAGACCCGACAGTAAAACAAGACATGCTTCGCTTGCTTTTTGGCCGATGTTGATGGCTTTGTTGCATTCAAATGCTATAGTTTCCTCCCATTTAACCTGTTAAGGCACGACTCAAACGGTTCCAATATACAGACATGATGTACCCTCCCGCTCTTTGCACCAGTTTCAAGTCTAAACCGTCAGTCGGAGTGGTGGAAGCAATGCCTGAACGCCGCCAGGGGGAGCTTCAGGCGGGTGGTGTCGTCCGTGCGGATGCGGCCTTGAGCAAGGCGGAGTTGGATGCCCAGATGACCGAGCTTGGAAACAGGCCGCTGGGAGGGGTGGGATTGGAGACAACGTCCAAACGGGAGTGTTGTGTTTTTTTCTCCGATGGAACGGTTTTCAAGCCAGCATGGAGGATCAACATGATCAAAACTTGTCCAGAAGACTGGACAAGTATAGATCTTGATATATTTTGATATCCTATCACCATCAATGGGGGCGAGGTCAATCAGTCAAGGGATGTCAAGCGATTGGCGGCTGAGGTTGCAGGGATCACTGAGCGGAACAAGGATCATGTACCCGACGAACACATTAGTGAGTCAGAGTGTAGACCATTGATTCACAAATCCACTCCATTTGGATATTTGGATGTGAAAACCTCTTCCTATGAGCGGTGCTATTCCTCAACAGTCTAAACAAACTAGGCCCATTCCAAAACCAACTGACTTGGCCAGGTTGGACACCCGACAGAAGATGAACGGCTGCCTCTTCCGGCGGGTGCAAATGTTGGAAGAGGCCAGGGCAGTGCTGGAGGGCTGGGGCACTGCTCCAGGGCAATCCTTCAACTGAGGCAAGAGGGCTGGTTTGTCTCCACAACAGATCTCTTGGATACAAACATTGTGAGATATAGATGGTACAAGAGTCTCCATCCACATGATCTCAATACAACAGATCTCTTGTCTCCATCCACATGATGGTACATGCATTGTTGTGGATGTATCCCGCTCGTTGTACGATATCTACTCTTGAAATTTGGATGGACGCCCAGGATTGAGCAACTGCCCCCTACATTGTCAGAAACCTGGAAAGTCCATGAAATGTATATTGTTTAATCAACTTTCTACAGAGATACATCCGGAGTTTGAGTAGAAACACTCCTTGGCGCCGCCTCGTTCGCCGCGTTGGTTCTCAGGTCCTTCAACTGGAGCGTCAGAAGCGTGGCGCACTGCTGGCGGACATGAGCGGCTTTCTGACGCCACGGACGGCGAAGGATGAGGTTCCACAGCTACAGGACTCAGAAGAAGCTTCAGGATGGAGATCTTCAATGTACTGTAATTAGATGAGCATTTTTGGATCCAGATCTGAGATATACAAATGCGTGGTTCCCAACATGTGGGGTTCTTACTTTTACTGTGCTTTCCGTCTGCCTCCCGCCTCTCCCGCCTCCCGCCTCCTCCTGCAGAATTCTCCATATTCATGCACTTGCACTCACTCACTTACACTCGTTCAACCGCTCACACCAACTCATCTCAATGCCACTCACTCAAATCCATTTCACTCACTTGCACTCACTCATCTCATGCATTTTGCTCTCTCCCGGCGGGAGTATGGGAGGTTCTGCTTACAGCCGACGCATGGTCGCCCACCGAGCCCGGAGATCCAGAGAGTTGCGCCGCACCAATGGGTGTGTATTTCAATAGGTGAACCCTGAACCAATGGCTAGACTGTTCTTTTTGTTCCATTTTCCAGGGGGTCGTTGCCTGGGAGGTTTCCATTTTTTGAGATACACACCCACATGTGAAACTATTCCAACGGTTGCATAGCTTCATGAGCCCTCTTTGTAGAAGAAAAGCGCAACCGTTGTTTTTGAAAAGGGAGGGGCCCAGGGGTGCGGGGACCGTTGCCTGGCTTCGACGAAAACAATTTTCATGATGAGGGTCTCAGGCAACTTGTTTAGTTTAGTTACGGATTGTGTTCTATTTTATTTAACTTCCAAGCATGGGGGTGTTTCAAATCTACAAGATCACTGGTTCAGAGACATCACAAAACTCAAGTTTCTGGAGGTATGTAAGCACCACATTGCTTTGTTCCTACATTGTTGCTACTGTTGTTAAATCGACCCGTGTAGACAAACCATAGAAATTTGCCATGGTCCAAGAAGTATGTGAGACAGAGAGCCAAGAAAAACAACAAGAACATGAGAACGCAAACACAGTTGGGTGAGGTTGCTTTGCATGAGAGCACTGCACTTCGTTTGTCATATAGTCCTGGTTTCTCCCTGCACCTGCGCAGTCATTTGTTAACCGCCGCATCTCAGGAATCGATGGTCCAATCCGCCAAAAACACCAAACGTCCCACTCCTTGCAGCAAAATAAAAAGAACACTATTCTGCAGTATTTTTGGTACAGTTATGAAATACATACCCACTCACGCTCGCTCACTTGCTGACTCGCTGACTCTCTCATTCACAAACTCCTTCCCTTCTATGGCCATCGTCCGAAAATACGCGTACGTCTGATGAGTCTCATGGTCCCTTCTTTCCGCCCCTTCAACCGCTCATCGATCCTGAATCAGTCTCCCTTTGATCCTGTACATTTATTCCAGCGCCTTGTCAGTGAAACACGTATCATCCATTCAGAGACACAATGTTTGCGTTCTCTTGCCACAGAGGTCTTCACAAGTCCTGTTTCCACAGGTGTGATGTACTGTATGTCCGCTGGATTGGCCATGGAGCGTGACATTGTCAGTATGTGGGTCATTCCGTGAGGGAAGGGACATTCCGTGAGGGAAACGCAACCAGCATGTTTCAATCGCTAACCCTCCGAGAGCTTGAGCTTAAGGCAACCACCGAAGGCCATGCTGGGCCATATGACAAACAACTGGAGGGGAACCCTCGCAGCTGCCAGGACATCTCAGCACAACTCTTAGCTTGGCGTGTGATGATGTCCACACGCATGTGGCTAAGTGGCTCGACCTTCAAGAAGGAAGACGAGGAGGTGCATGACGAGGACTTTGAGCAATTCTGAGACCTACGCTAACCGTCCTTCTTCCTGAAGGACTTCCTTTCACTGAGACAAGGGCTCCCCCCCAAAAAAGGGCTGGGCGGCAGTCTTACCTTCGAGACAGCGCCCGAAAGCGCTGGGCTACCCCGGCGTCCGCGAAAAGCTTCGGCGACCGCGGGCGGTTTTGGGCGCGGAAGGTTTGGCCGAAGCCCATGGTGCGATCCGGAGGAATGAGCACAGACCTTGCGAAGAGTGGGAGATGGATGTTCCAGGTGGGTACATTTGGTAGGTACACGTAGGTTTGGAGGTTCTTGATGTTTGAATATGTTCTCCAATTGGACATGTGAACGGCAATTAGATCACCACCCTCCAAAGTATTGTAATCGTCACTGAAAACCATACTTTTTCTGATCGTCCAGGTTTCCTTTCAGAACCTCGAGTGCTAGTTACTAGTTAGTTTCACAGGACTCTGGTTCAAGATGGAAGGGTTAAATGCCCCTGTATATAGGTGTCAAATGATACTCCACATTTCAGTGCAGTGAGCACTCACTCCATGCCTTCCAAAACCAGCTTTCTCACCTCCCAAAACCAGCCTGGCCGTGACATGGTCATCGCCACACCGGGCGTGTTTGGAATCCGTTTCACCGCATGGCGTCTCAGGTGTGTGATGCCTACCTTTGGTTGGCCAGCCGCTTTCCGGACGCCTTTGTAGACGTGAAGCTGGCGGACCAGGCGTGACACGGACCAGGGGTGTTTGACGGTCCAGCTGAAGATTGGGAAAGGAGACCCAACAAGCCGACAAGCGGGCCCCATACTTTGAGTTCCGAAAGTTTGTTCTATGAGGTTTCTATGTCAAAACGTGCATGAACCGGATGTCGAATATTTGGTAGCCTGAAACGAGGACAAGCAAGGGTCGTCCCTGCCCTCATTGTACTGCTCAATGAGTTAAAGGACCAGGTTTTGCTGGGGTCTAGTATTACTAGTGGTATGTACGTAATTGTATCTTAACGGTGTTTTTGCAGTCGGATGTTGTGGTGCATTTCATGGTGTCAACTCTTCTTTCCTGTCACTTATGCACTTCCTTTTGCCCTAAACATGGCCGCTCGCTCATTTGAAGCCATACGTGAACACAGTCGGACGCGGCTGGACGGGGCCAGAGGTTCGGTACCGTCCAGGCACGGGCCATGGTCGCCCAGCGTATTGGCCAAGCACTCCGGCGACCCCTGGGAGAGGCGCGCAGGGGGGGGCGGCTGGCGTTTGCGTGAGACCGCGAGGCGAGGCGGGAGAGGTGGGGGTGGCTGTGGCTGTGGGTGTTGGCTTTGCGGCTTGGCTTGGCAGTTTTGGATGGCACCCCATTTTGGGGAGCCACTGCCCTATGTTTCAGGTCTACATGTTCAACGTGCCAATTCTCAGGACTTCAACTCGGAATGAGCTATACTACAACCTCGTGGTTGCTCTTTTTTGGGGGGGGTCGGTAGTTCAACATACCTCTATTTAGGTCTGTGAACCACGTAAACATCAGCAACCAAAATAAACATCCGGTTAAAACACATGTTCGGGAAGAAACACCTGTGGCTCACCAATAAACGCCCTTAGCTTGTGTATAAATGCCCGTGGAATATCAGAACAAATCAGAAAACTAGAGAAACATCCGCAGGCTCAATATAAGGCTGTGACTCCACAAGATGCCACGAAAGGTAGCGGTTACGCTACCTGAGTTTTCCTTTTGCTTTAGCAAAAATGTATTAACCCAGAGCTGCAGCCTATCTCTCGGAGAAATGGTCCCCGACATCTTCGTTTGCTGGCCGGGGGGCGGGGGCCCCCCCCCCTTTCAACTCCACCCTAGCGCGCCTCGGGGTCAACCGTTCGAAAACACTGTAAATATCAGTGTTTTCAGCTCTTCCAGTCCTCAGCAGTGACCAAAAATCATGGAATTTACAGCGTTTTTTGTGGCTGTCCGGCAAAAAACACCGCAAAAACCGATGGTTTTTGATGCGTCTCGGTTAGAAAAATGACCGAAAAAAGACCAAAAACCAGGAAAGATTTTGTCAGAAAGGGTTTTTGAGGCTTTTGGAGGCTTCAAAATTGCACAAAACTATGGTATTTACAGGGTTTTGTGCACCTTCCCGGCAGAAAACGCCGGTATTTACACGGTTTTCTGCGCTTTTCCAGCGCTCAACCGTGGTGCGCCTTTGGATCGACGGCTACAAAATACCGTAAATACCAGTGTTTTCAGCTCCTCCTGTCTTCAAGCGTGGCCTTAGACCTTGCCGCGGCTGTGGATCGACGGCAACGAAACCTCGTAAATACCAGTGTTTTTGAGCACGTCCTGTTTGCAAGCATGGCCTGCGGCCACGCAATTTACAGGGTCGCCGCACGTCACTATGTCAATCCGAAGTTGCATTTGAGAAATATGTGACTCCTTTTGAAGGCACGTCAACCTGTATTGAAACCGCTAGACCGCTACAGCTTCTGCAGGTTTTGTCAAGCGTTTGTGCATTAGTTTTTCTTTCATCACGCTCACTCACTTCTCTTCAAACAAGTGGGGGGCCTCTCACCTCCTCCCGGATTACGCCTGATTCCCTGCTACCTTTCGTTCACCACCCTCCTCTCTCAAGTTTTGCACGCCGCAGATCGCAAAAAAACACTGAGGAAGTTCCAGAGCCGCCCCCAGAGAAGTGCATGATGCAATGGAGCAAGTTGTTTTGGTCAACCAGAGTGTAGATTGGATGATCCAAGGTGGATCCACGGAAGCCTTTCCACTAGTGATTTTGCAATGGAATTGTCCAGCCAGTTCTAAATGTTCTATCAGTCAATGTTGCATTCTGTTCCTGCCCAGCGCGTGCACAAACATCCATTGTGGCTTGCATCCTGAATCCTACCTTAGATGTGATTGGCGCAAAGGCGTGTTGGGGGCGGACCCCATGGTAGATGATCTCTTTAGACTCTAGACCCTGGAACATGCAAAAGGCATCACACAAGACTCTACACCCTGGAACCGCTAACTTCCCAGGGTCATGTGATTGGCCATGCTTCTTTTGCGAGTGCTGGGGTTCCAAGACACATCCGGGGCTGGTCGCTCCAACTTTCGGTACCCTTTCGTGACAGACCAAGTGAGGGGACTTACACTTCCTGGAACTAACATGGAAGTGGAGAATGGCCCCTTGGAAGACCATTTTCCACTACAAACAGGTGGTTTTCCACTTCCATGTTAGTTCCAGGGAGAGTAGTATGACTTAGTCTATTAGTCATTCTGGGGAGTGTTCAATCATCATCAACGAAGGATTATTCTTGTCCCTTTTGCCAACGCCGGCGGCCAGGATAGTACCTTTGGAGAGGCCTTTTTGACCGCGGCTGGTTGTTGCATGTTTGCATTGTTTGGGTGTTGTGGCCTGGGTGCTGTTGTGGCCTGGGTGCTGTTGCAATCATCACCGGTCCTTTCAGGGTCTTGCAGGTGTTTCAGGTCGCTTTTTGGACAGGGAATGTCAACAGTTGAGCACCCAGTCTTCTAACATATAGTTTGACGCAACTCAGCAACTACATCAAGGACTATACATACACTGGGAGTCCAAGACTATGTCGCAATCTGCCCAAACCTGTAGCTGAAAGGAGTCTGACAACCCGTCCAGCTCATCCGCCGCATCGGACTCTGACAACCAAAGAAGAAGCCAGCATTGTGGGTGCGTGGATATAGGCTTTAACTTTCATGTTAGGAGTGCTGGTGCCCCAAATCAATGGACACCTTTTAAATACGACAGGGTTGGGAACAAGAAAAGAACCGATACCCTCCCTTCTGATGACCTGGACCAAATTCAAGGAGGTTTAGATCGCCGCTCAGCAGTCTTGGCAGAGCTTGGCATCCCCATGTTGAAAGCAAACGTCTCAGCCAGTGCCGCGCAGGCGGAGATGTGGAGACACGGGGGCGAAAGACTCCTGGAGTGACGTGCTGGGTGATCCACACTCTTCACTTGCCTTCAGGACACTTGTTGGGCGAAGAAGTACGAAAGGGACAAAGGCACCCACAGCTTCACGTCTGAGGAGAAGATATACTTAATTATGATATATCACGTCATTGGAGGTCGGCACCGTGGAGGAGGGATCCCAAGGATGATGTTTTGTTCATGAAGAGGGGCCCCAAAGACTGTAAATCTCTTCATGAGGAGAGATCACACGGACTAAATCATGTCTTTTTCATCAGGCATCAGGAGGGATCCCCACGACCAAATCGTTTCATGAGGAAGGGCCCCCGAGACAAATCCCTCCATGTGACTAAGCTCACAGAGTGGATGAGGAAGGACGGCTTCGAGATGGCGGAGGACAATGTTTGTTGCCATGAGTTCAAGCACAGATTATAGAGCCAATCCCTGTTCACATTTGTACTCTAATCATTGAGATTCCACTAGTCCCCCGAATCTACACGACAGGAGGGATAACATAGGGTCCGGTTACAGCAGGATGCAGATGGTTGCAGCCCTATCATCGGACATATCATATCATGACATATCCAAGAACCTATCCTAATGGTCCTAATGCCTCTCCTGCAGGCGGCGGCCATTAATCTGTTCATGTTCATTCGTTCTGTCGAGTTTTCACCGAGGGTGTGGAACCAAACGTCACATTGTAATTTATGGATGCTACCCAGCTCGCTCAAAGTGGCTTCGATCAGAAGCCACTTAAGCATGTCATCCAAACTTCAATGATTTTGTCATCGGCTACTCACGTGTGCCACTTATCAGACCATTTTCTAGGAGAGTTTTTGCACTGTGAGTGAGGCGAAAACGATACCGACGTGGGCCGCGGTACTTTGGGTCACGCCCCCATCGCCCATAACATGTCATGGGTTGCCCCCCCCACACACAGCTGGAGCTATTCAGCTACCGCCTGGAATGTCCAAAGGCTTTGGCAAGAGATAGGGTCACTGCACGGTCCCGTTAATAAGCCATATGATGCCATGGGTACATCATGGTGTGTGTGGGCGTGGGGTATTGATACCCAGAACATCCAAATGGCTCCTTTTAACCCCTGAAACAAGTGGTGGATCAGGACTACCCAGTGGGGGAAAAGGAGACCTTGGAAGTTCTGGGATACATAGCATGTATGTATGTTTCCTTCACTGACAGGTGGTCCATCAATGTCATCAACGTTGATGGACCACCTGTGGTTGATCCCATGGCCCTCCGCGGATGCACCGCACCGACGCGAAGGACTCGTTCGGAAGACCAACAGAGCAAGGGTTCACATAGACCTACCAGCACCTGGGCCGGAAAACTATGAGGTTTATAAGTGGAGGTGAGGGTTTGGGGTTGCCAATCTTTTCTGGGTTGTGTGCTCAGCCAGTGAACCGCCAAAAGGGTGGTGAGTGGCTGAAACCAATCTATGAGTTTCCCGGCTTTTGATTGGATCGGGGAGGGAGGGGCGTACGTACCCTCCCTATTGGGGGTGCCAAAAGCATCTCCAGTCGGTTCCTTGAATGGAAAGCATCTCCATCTTGCCCATGGCCTCCAGGTGTCCAACTGCGGCCGCTCGGACTGACGCTCTCCTCCGCGCGGGTTGCACGGCGGCGGTCCAGACAAACGGACGCGGCTGACGGTGCGGCGAAGCCGTGGCACATGGAGGTGGCACATGGCGGACGTTGAGATGCTTGCGATGATTCACCGCTTCAGAAGTATTTGGAGCATATTGGACCTGCAAGTCTGACTCACCAGGCCATCCTTGGCAAAAAAAGGCACATCATTTCGATTGCCTGGCTGCTCCGGATCGCACTCGTCGCCAGGCTTCCGGGCGCCCTGTCCGTGTTCGTTTCAGAAAAGCGATGTCCTGTACGACCCCAACCGGATGCCCTTCCGCGAATTCCTCCGAATGTGCTCGTTCTCAATTCCGATCGGTCACATAGGGCGGTTGCGACATCATCCATCAGAAGTGGATAGGATAGAAAATTAGACATGACAAGTCATCATACAACACCAGGAGTTCCAAAAGTGGGGCCTGCTCAAAGCATTTCAAACATTTTTCAGCGGTCGCGCCCATTCAATATTATTCAATACTAACCTTTGGAATACCCCCTTTGAAGACTAACCTGGACCCTGAAAACCACGGGTTGGTAGAGGAAATGCGTCTGAAACAGAGTGCAAAAACCGTACCGACCGGGTCCGCGTGAGGGTTCAACAGAGTGAGTGTATTTGTGCCTTTTTGGTGCCATGGGGGTCCATAGAGGTGAAACTGGGGGTCCATAGATGGTTTGGCGAACCGACCGCGGAGTCATGAAAACTGGCTGGTCAATGCCTGCAGACCATCGTGGTTTTGCTTAAGGTGATTTTTGGTTTAATTCCCCTTCTGAGGACTATGCTTTATTTTAGACGTTCCTTAAGCAAATCCAAGCCATTCAAACAGTTCAGCTGACCTGCTTTTGTAGTGTAAGGTCTTTAGTAGGGGGCGTGTGTTGTATTTGGGATGGGGGCAGCGGGGCATGATGGGACATGGTTTCCTTTTTGTCGACTTCTTGTTGATGAACGTCACGAAAACGACTGGCTGTCCAGTCCGGTTTGGAAAGCTGGTGAAAAGCACACAAGCCCCAACCTTGTTTGTTTGTTTGCAGGTGGTTTGGTCAAGTAAGTTATAGAAATCGATTTTGCATGATGCCTTTCGGAAAGGGGGTGAGTCAGGTGGCTGTGTAAAAAGAAGACCAAGCGGCCTCGATCAATTCAACGGCAGACGGGCCACCTGTGCGGACGGCGACCTGTTCGGCCTTCACAAGTGTGGGAGTCATGTGGAGTCGTCAGAACTTGAATCCGGAGAATCTCCAGTGTTCGGCCGAAGCGGCTTGCAAGGTTCTCCTGCAAGAACCTGATGGAAGAAGGTAGAAGAACGGGTCTATCTTTTAGATTCTTTTAGCAGGTTGGAACCTGGTGTTGCTGATCAGTTTGGAGTTATCTATCAAGAACATAGCCTTCTGATTGTGGACCTTGTCATGCCTCGTCCTGAATGTCAGTAAGAAGCGGAACATGTGCAGAAAGACCCTGCTTCGATGAATAGCATGTCCGCAGCCTTTTTGACCATTTCTGGTCAAGGCATTCCAAACGTAGTGATCCTGCCTTTCAGCTCAACGTAGTCTACGCCAGGACAGGTGCGAACTGGCCGACTCGCTTGGGGGAAGCACGGAAGCTCCGAATTTCATCCTGGGTGGTTGACATACAGTGAAGATGGATGAAGACAGGGTGTTGATGTCGGCTTGGCAAGGAGATCAAGGGTCTGACACCAAGTTTACCGGCACCTCGCTCTGTTTGGTGTTCGTTTTGAATGTTTGTTTCCTTCTCCCACAGCCGTGTTTCACGTTCCTTTGCATGAGAAAGTGTAATGTTATTGAGGTGCTAAGAGTTACAGTAATAAAGAGAATTGCCCATACTGTTCACAGGAGGTGAGAGGTGGTATTGATAAGCCCCTCGCGGGCGCCGATCAAGATTCAATCACAGTGTATTATACTAAAGGATATTGAAAGTGTCCCAAACGCCCTTGACTCTTGACCGAGTGTTTTGTGCGCTTAAGGAGTTCAAGACTTTTTGGACGATGGTGCAGGTGTTATTTGCTCCGAAGCACATCCCCCCAGCACCAGATTTGGGGGCCATTTCGGACCATCCTCGAAGTCTCCAACAGTTTTCGCCCCGTAAGTAGCCAAGATGTGGCGATTGGTTGCGGGCCCCCGATATAGTTTTTTTTTTTTTTTTTTTTTTTTAAATAGAGTATCTATAATATATATATATATATATTATATATTTTTTAGATGTATAAATACGTGTATATATATATATGCGTGTGTTTGTATAATATATGTTTATAAATATACTCTATGCTTGCAAATCGGAGTTGCACAGACAATTCTTGGCTGAACTTCCTCGCCATCAAAGACCCACTTCAGATTTCAGCCGAGCCCCCACACTCCGTTATGGAATATATACCATTGCAAACATTATTGTATACCTATATGGGAGTTGATCTAAATTCCTTATCCGGGATCCATCATTTTCGCCGAAAAAAAATACTTTAGCCAAACTTTCGCCTTCCTGCGTTTTATCTTTCGCCGAAGTATGTTGTATTTATGTGTGCCATGTTGTGTTTGGTTCACGTCAATGGCTTCTTCTTTAATGGCAAACACAAAATAGAAACTTCACTGTTTGTCAGCATGTGTCTTCTACTTAACTGTTGACACCCTGTACGTCTCTTTTGTTTCTCCTGGGTGTCAGCAAGAATCAAAATTGCAAGAATCACTGTAGTAGCCGGTCACTCAAACTTACTCATAATGGGCTGGGGGTCAGATGTGGCAGGGTGAACTTTCGCCAAACTTTCGCCTTTTGCGGGGTAGAGTTTTGTGGCAAAGCCACCCCCCCAATTAGTAGTAGTAGTAGTAGTAGTAGTCGTAGTCGTAGTCGTAGTGGTAGTGGTAGTAGTAGTAGTAGTAGCAGTAGTAGTAGCAGCCGCAGCAGCAGCAGGTGATCTAACTTCCACAGCTCATCTAACTTCTGAGTCACTGCCACCAGCTGTTCAGGAAGCAAATAAACATTCATACAAAAGTACATATTTAATCTTTCGCCAAAAAAATACTTTCGCCAACTCGAGAAAAACTTTCGCCAAATGAGATTTTGATATGTTCCGGGTCATCGTCATACACAATGCTGTCTAGGACCTTTAGTATCGACAACCATATATGCATATGCCGTGCATTCCCTGGAGCTCCAAATAGCAAATACTGTATCTTCAAAGAAGGTACTACCCTCCAAAACCACCCACCCAGCGCCGTCCCTTCCACCGCAGCCTGGAGGCATGGAGGAAACCCCAAACATGGGGGAGAGGCCCTGGGGCTCCGTCGCTTCCGTCGAAAGAGCGAAGTTCTTCCTGGTCTTTCCGTCGGGCGCTTCCGTCGGTTCGCGCAGGATGTTCACCGTTGCCATCTCCTTGGCGTGCTTCAGCGTGGCCTTTTCCGCGCATTTGCGGAGCAACGTTCCTTTGCTCCTGGGAGGGAGGATTGGGTGCTGAGGGGAGAAAGAACTGGGTGAACATTGGGGGAACCACTGCAAATACTTTCTTTCTTTTAAACGAAAGCCGAAAGGCTGACTGGGGGTGCTCAGAGTGCTCCAGCAAGAGCTAATCAAGAGATATCAAGAGTAAGGATAGACATGTTGAGGCTAAGGGGATCAGCAAGAATCTCCGGTTCTTCGTCAACTATTACAACTGAAAGCCTGGTCTCAGTTGTGAAGCTTTCAGGGTCTTTGGCTCATCCCACAATCGACACACCCAACTCAGCCATACTTACATGTATATAATAATATAATATAGAGAGAGAGAGGCCCACAAATAGATCGAAAAGTAGATCCCCACTAAACATGTATTGCACACCGTGCCACTATCTATTTATAGGGACCACTACCGCTCATCAACTCGACCGCGGCAGCCCGCTCCTCTCGCCGAGCGCTCGAGGTCACTCACTCCACGGTGCACCAGGTCTCAGCCCTGTCCTTCTATCAGGAGGACCGACCGTTCAAACCGAGAACCGCATCGCTGGACCGAGGTCTCGCGTCGCCGGGACTAACGGAGACCAGGATGCGCCCACCAGGATGTTCAGAGACGGACACGGAAGAAGACGGAATTCGGGAGACACGATCATCATTGATCATCAACTAAAGACCGTTCTGCTTCATTCTGTTTTTTTTCCCGCGAAAAGTGGACATGTTGGTCGTGGTGGGACTTTCACCTCCATTGTAGCCATTGACCCCTTTCATGGAATGGGACAACAAAAGGCTTGGAGCCTGGCTGGATGATCTTTCGACCTTGGATTCCAGGAGCCCACTTGCCAATGCATGGCCAACAATGCGGCTTGGAAGACATCCGAGCGGAGCGAGGCCAAGTGCATTTTCATCGATTTGGGCGCAGCTGATGGCAACACCTTCGCCAAGTTCATTGAGACACTTGGGCGGCAGCTTTTGGGGGGGATCATTCAGTCTTCCATCGTCACCCCGATCCAAGCTCGATGGTATGGTCGCTGCTGCAGTCGGGGCGCCGAAGCCTTGAACTCGCACCTTGAGACTGGGGGGAGCGAAGAAGAAGAGTGATTCTTTTTCTTCTACATCACTAAGTCTTTAAGGTGAAGGAGTTCTTCTTGCTCGTTCTGGTGTTCTTCTTGCATCAATCTTGTGCATTTGCGAAGGTGTTCTAAACAAGAGTGAACAAATTCCACACTTCCAGCACTCGTCCTCAGCACTCGTCCCCAGCACGTCCCACACGCGATGACTTGGTCCTTTCGTCTCCACAGCCAGGAACGACTATGGCCCAGTGAAGAACTGTCCCAATGGCAAGTGGGAAGCCTACCTTGTGGAGGCTGGACGCTTGAGTTGGGCCAAAACGTTGGTGCGTGGAAGTTCGAGTAGACAACAAGCGCAACAAGACTTCCCTCCTCGTTTTCAATGGAGTTTAAAAAAACGGGATGATTCACGGCGCTTGAGCGATCCGGCTCAGAGATTCCTAGCGATTGCGTTGGGACATGGCTGTGGGTCCAAGCCTGGAGCCCCCAACAAGCACCTTTGCTTGACCTCCACGGTAGCTCAACCAAGTTCTGGATTTGACCCACAGCCAAGTTGTCTTGGAGAAGATCCACGTTCCCGAAGAAATCAACATAATTCAACATGCACTGAAGATGGAGAAGCGGAGAAGCGCTTCTGAAAGTACCCTTTGCATTCCTTTGCCAGACAAACTTGGATACTGCCAGAGGAGGATTTGGATGGATTTGGAAGTAGATTTCCATAGATTTCCTATACCACGAGTGGTTAGTTTAGGGATGGTTAAGGTTCTATAGGTTCAATATACTTGTTTCAGACGGTATTTCTTTAGCAGCGCTGAAGTGTAAATTTACATGCGTGCCTTGTGCCTGGGCATGACAGTGACATTGTGACTTAGGCCAATCCACAGTTCACCAAGGAGTTGAAGGCCTTAGAAGAGACGCTTAGCTCATCAGACTTCCGCCTGCCAGTCCTCGCAGTGAAGGGAAGGCAGACCACTCTGCAAGGCAGACCGATCATCGGTGCTGCTGTCGGTCCTTTTACATACGGTTTTCGGAGCACAGAATCTTGGGTCGGACACCGGCAGCATCCACCAGCAGTTCTTGGCGTGTCGTCATCCATTTTATTGAGTTCAGGCGGTGTTTCTAGCATGTTTTGTGCGCCGTGTGTGTGTGTGTGTGTGTCAACCTCTGCAACTAAGAGTTCCTTTTCCTTCTTTCCCATTCAAGCAGGGGGCGACAGAGTCGCTGCATGGCTGTCGCCAACGAAGCTCCATGCAGTTGACTAGGATATCACGGCTGATCACCGTGACGTACCTGCTGAACTTTTGACCACGCTGTCTAATTTGCTCTGTTTGATTCCATGGTTCTTCATGCTACCAACCCCCAAACCTTTCCTTGCAGCTGCGCCACGCTGACGATCGACACCGCCGTCCTTGTGAGCTGCACATATGCACAAACCTTTGTTAAACAATACTTTTCCGCGGACTCTGCCACCTTTCTGTTCCATCGCCATTTTTCCTGGGAATTGAGCTAACTGAAAACCAATGTCAGAGAGTGTGTGTGTGTGTGTCACACCCTGTTTCTAAGGGTTCTTTCAAGATTTGCAGGGGCGTGTGACACTCTTCTCCTATCACACGCAACGAAGCTGTGGAGAAGAGTGGGAAGGGAAACTTGGCCAGTTTCCTGTACCTGCGACGCAACTGTTGATCAAGCCGTTCCACTTTCTGCTTTTTGTTTCATGATACTCCCCCCAAACCTTTCCTTCCCCAGCAGAGGTGCAGCCGCGCTGATCGTTGAGCCGTCTTGCATTAACCTTGTTTCAACAATACAATTGAGCTGACTCTCTCACCTTTCCGTTCCATCGCCACTTTCCTGGAAATTGAGTTAACTGAAAACCAATGTCAGAGTGTCGTGTGTTTCACTTCTTGCTCTCCCATCTACCAACTGAGGAACTTCCCCGGTCAGGCGGGAGCTGTGCACGGGGAGTGGGGCATGTGGGCAGGGCAGAGCAGGGCAGGGCATGCTTGGATTAAGGTTTCAGAACTTCTCCGTGTGGAACCCCATGGACCCCCAACACTGTGCCGAATAAGATTATCTTCCGAAGGCGTAGCTGGCGTAGCCCTTTGGCCTGGGATGTGTGTGTGTGTGTGCGTTTCTTTTTTCATGGGGGGTAAAGCTTTGGAGGAATGTTCTAGCCTAAGGGCCTCTTGTGGTTTGCACGGGTCCGGAGATCAGGAAGTGAAAAAGGACGGTGGAACAACTATTATGCCCTAGGGATCCACATACCTTCTCAGGAGGTACTTGGGCCCTCCAAGCCCTCACAAATAGTCTCCAATCACCTTCTGAGAAGGTACTTGGATCCCTAGGGATATATAATTTGTTGTTGTCAGCTGGTTTGCCGGGCGTTCTTTCCTTTTTGCCGGCAGCCCAGGTGACAAAACAGGCCCAGTCAGTGCCATGAAGCGTTTCTCATTATTCAAACTTGCCAAAGCCACCACGAACTCTGCGAAGAGCGGGGGAACATTTGGTCTTGAGGAGGAACATCAATGTGGCCGGGTGCCAGGCATTGCCGAGAGAGGCTGGTTGCGGTAGGTGTCCACTGTATACCATGTTCTGAACCTCGTGCCGTCTCACGCTATCTCACTCGTGCACCAGGTTCATTCCTTGGCAGAACATGCCGCCTTCTCCTGCGAGGGTACCACCAGCTTCTTTATCGACACTTGGAAGAGGCAAAGTGCTGACTCAATCGAAGACCCGTGGAGGGTGAAAAGTTGAACTGGGCTTCCGTCAGCGAGACGAGCTACTGGTGGTCAGGGTGTGCACGTTTTGTTGTTCTTAATTACTATTTCAAGGTATAGTAAAGAGTGAGACAAGACCTGGGGCTGGGTATAGTAAAGTATAGGTAACTAGTTGACCAAAATTCACATGACATGGGCTTTTCAGATCAGTATTGTATATAGTATTACACTTATAGTCGCATAGTAGATATGTAGCTTATGGTCAGAGTCAGGTTTGTGATACATTCTGATTCTATTGGGAAACGTGAACGTGAAGTAGACTATAGTCATCGACTATTTGTAGACGCAACATGATGTGTTCTATTTATCGTCTTTGGAACGGTCGCCCGAAAACGTGTCTGGAACACAGCTCAATGGATGGCACTACTCTGGATGCATTCAATCTCTACAAGATCACAAATTACTTTGATGGGATGTTCCTCCCATCGAGTTGCCCCCCCACCTAGTTGCAACCCCAACCAAGGATTCTCCAGCTTCCTTTCTCAAGCTTCACAAGGTAAGCTGGCTCTGCAGATCTGGCAGATGTGCAGACTTCGTCTCAGAACCGCTTTCCCCCACCGAAGACCCAAGACTTCCCCCTACCTACCGACCCCTTCGTCGACGCACGTGAAGCGGACGCCCGAGGACGTGGACGCCAGCCACAACCACTGGGGCTCCAGTCTCTACGGCGACGCTCCCGATGCGGTGAAGAGCGGCAAGGTCCAAGTCACGGCTCCTCGGAGGAAGGACATCCTCGGGTGTCCACCCGGATGCGTCCAGCGGATCCGTCCGATCGTGTGTGTGTGTGTGTGTGTGGTATCTATTGGCCACGAAAGCATGTTGTTGGGGGTTGCTTGCAACCGTAAATGGATTTGAAGGTGTCCAAAGCGAATTAGAAGCCACATGAACTAGTTTGCTCGTGTAAGTTGATTTGACACACCTATTTTTAAGTCATTGACCTCAGATAGAAATATTCTAGCCCTATGGGACCTCCAAGCCTACATCAATAGTCTCCAATCACCTTGTCAGAAGGTATGTGGATCCATACGGTAGGTTTATGATGGTTTATGTGTTTGTGACGGTGACTTCCAATGCACTGAAAAACATCCACTGCAGCTCGCAGGTACCCATGATCAACATCGTCCAGTTGATGCTCGGGCATGGATTAAGTCTAAGTTCATTCTATGGTTGTTCTGAAAGGTGCCAATGTTAGCTGATGCTCCCAAATGCATTGCAAGATCTCAAGTGCCTGCGCAAGCCTCGCCATCGCATGCCTCGTGAGTGCGTGCTACACGTGTTCTCCGTTCGGAACCCGAGCATCTCATGGCGAGGGGGGCGGGCTCGGCGGGCTCTCCTCATGCGGCAGAGCTCTGCTGCCAAGTTGACGAACCCTTTGGGCAGCGTGTTCAGGTGTCCTTCTTTACCGTGCACAACAAGACCAGTAGCTTATACTGATACTGTAGGTAGAATCTTGAAGACCGCCCCAATTGGATTGTAGAAACTCTTTCATCGTACTCTTCATAGATTATGGGGGGGCTATTAATCAAGATATATCAAGATTTTTGCAAAAGGTAGAAATAGCCGGAAGGGAAACCAGACGAGTCTCCAATCATTTCCATTTGGCTCAGCCCCTTTTTGAATCCCCCTACAGTGGGGAGTTGGCATGATCAAGTTCCTCTAGTCTAGTCAATAGAATTTAGCAAGGACACGCACGTATTTGAAGAGTTTTTGTTGATCCAATAGGGAGGGTTATCAGGTGGTCAATGGGGAAGGGGTCAAAACCGATCGAGCCCGACCACACCATGTACAGTAGCTTGACCCACAGCCACTCCCACAGCCAATTAAGTCAACTGTCTACGGTCGTGACCGGTGCGAGGATTGCAGAGAGTGTCCGCCCAGAGGACTGGGTCATGCTACCCGGCCGAAGCACCAAGAGATGCACCGGACGGGGTGGCAGGACGAATCCCATTCACTGCAGCGGTTCATGATGCGAAGACGTGAGAGAACTCACCAGCAGCCCTGAAGCTTAAAAAGCACTCCTATGTTTACAAGGATGCTTTCAAGCCAACTTTATCCAATCTCACCAACATCCGCGTCTTGGAAGGCACCCACAGAAGTGGTTCTGCACCAACTGCACCACGTGTCATTTGTTTCCAATGGGAACATCTACACGAACCCCATACTGTTGGGGATGAACACTTAAACCATGGATAATGTGATAGATCTTTCCCTGAAATAATTTGGGCATGTTCCAACTGGAAATCCTTCGCCGTTGAAGGTGCCACGGTGCGCCGTTGTGTTCTTTCGACGTCAATCACCAGGTTGAAGGTTGACATCGAAGGAGCTGAGTACAACCTGCTGCCATGCCTTGCACAGTTCAAAGACGCAGGCACCCTCGGCGCTCGAACAGCGCACGGTCGGAGCTCGAAAAGCGCATCATGGCGCTTCTTGTTTCCACCTTCTCCCAGACACAACAGTATGTCTTTGCCGTTTTTTGTTAGGCTGTGCAGGTCATAGAGGTACAGTCAGCTGAGGCTGTTGCACCAGTTCAGTTTGTTTTACCGTGCTTTTGTGATTGGGGTAAAGTTTTGGCACTGTGTACATCTCATCAATCAACCTTCCCAAAACTAGCCTGGCAACCGGCAACCCATATAAGAGCTAGAGTTACGAGAATCTTTGTAGCACAGAGGGTTATCGCGCGGCATTTGTCTTTGCAATGTGTTTCACGTTTGGGACTTGCATAGTTGCGCTGCCTTGTTGTGCTGCCAGTCAATTCGTTGGCGCTTTTCCATTGGCTCATTCCTGTTCCATAGAATGAGCAATGTTGCGACCAACGCAACAAAGACAACAAATACAATCAAAAACAATATTGGGACCAACAAGTTGCAACCAGGCGACACAATAACAAAGAATGACATACCAATGACAGCAATTGCGGAAAAAATACAAAATACGTGGCAGACAAATGACACACACTTACATAATATATTACATATATAACGTTATGCAATTAGACAACATGTTGATTCAATCTGTCCAGGGGAAAGGTTCTTACGCAGCTAGAGATACATACTGTAGGCCCTTCTTTGCTGTACTTGGAGTCATTCAGTTGGAGTATACCATGCCGCAACTTTGTGCATAGGGATGAGGTTTATTTCCTCCGAACTGATCACAAGTCAGGGACGGGTGCATTCTTAGCAGTGTGGAAGAAGAGGTGTGTATAGTAGAGGAATCCGGTTCTGCTGAGGTCACACTATATGAATAGTATGTTAATTAATTAATGTGAAGATTCTTGAGACATCTTGAGACAGCCTCCTGAATTTTGTATTGCCTGATCCTGATGTGTTGGCTTTAGAAAGGACTCCAGCTCCCACAAAGAAGATTGGATTTATGGCATGCTTGGACCGTCATTGAGGGGTCTTTGGTTTGAAAAGGTCCATGCTATTTTTGTAAGGACTTCATACTAAAAGTCCATTGCCAGGGTCATTTGCATTCATTTGCACTTGGAATGTGACAGTAAGCAAACACTATATACTCCCATGCAGCAATAGCCATACGATGACTCCAATTGCACAAGAAAAAACTTGATCTCAAAGTACCAGAACCTGGAATTTGAACCCTTAGAGGTCTCTAATGAGCTATCCGATTAACCTATTGATCATTATTGATCCTATTACTTGATTGACCCACCTATTCTACTATTCTAGTGGATGTTTTGAGATGTGAAGCAACAACAGGCGAATGGAGTGCCAATGCACAAATATCACTTGCTTTTCGGTGTTTCAAGACCGGTCACAGCGCAGGTTTGATCGATCGGATGTACTTGGAGGAGCACTGGTGGTTCCCCTCAGTGACCGTGCCTTGGAGAGTTGCGCCGCTTTCTAGGTTTCCATTTTTTGGGGTGACAGAAATCCCTCCACAGGAAAGGGGATGCATTTCTGACTAATCTCGCAGGTCAGAAGGCTGTTGCTTTACTTTTTCAGCAATTTTGGGAGAAGGGCACTTTGAGAAGTCGGAACGTTCCCTGCCTGGTTCAGTCTTACACGGGCGCAGTATGTGAGGGAGTCGTTTTTTGTCAGGGCGAATTCAGCTGCCGAGCTCAGCAGCTCTTGCAGAAAAATGACCTGTTCGCTGGATTGTTTTTTTTTTTGCCAGCATCATTCTGATAGTTGTATACGTACCCTCAGGTCCTGATGCTTCATGCAATATATATGCCTCAAGATCCTCAAGGGTTTGTATAGATTCGAGCCGTTTTCCATGTTTTCGAGCCGCGGCTCGCCGCACTTTCTTCTTCGCGACCGTGGGTTGCCGGTCGCCGGTCGCACGTCGCAGGGGTTCAGACCCGACTTCGGGGTCTCGACCACGGGCGATGTGCCCCGCACAGTCTCCGATGCCTCGCGGGGCGGGCGAGACCGTCTGGCTGCTGCCGAGGAACAGAGCAAGAGTGCCCTGGCCCAGAGCAAGAAGCAGCTCTTGGCGAAGCATGTGGACATCCCCCAGTACTACAGTGAGACCTGAGAGACTGAAGGACTGAGTGACCGATGGCTCAACAGGGCCCAGCACACTGGCTCACTGATGGCGACATTGGATCAGTTGATTCTTGTTGGTTTGATGTGCCAGGTTTGTGTATTCAGCCCGGAAGACAGCAGAGTCGGTACGTAGCTCCAGCTGGACATGTGTCTTGCCCTTGAGCTGAGCTGCATGGCTCTTGCAGGAAAAGGAGTGTCCGGGATGATGAGTTTGCATCCACCATCATCCACCTCTGTGTGCTTAGCCATGGTTCACTCTTCCCACCATGGAGTGGTGTCATCAGTTGATCATCAGTTGATCGATGTGATGCCATTTATTGAAGACAAGAGCTTGGTATGTATAGCCCAGACACTGACACTCCATGGGACTGGAATATATACCGTACATTGACCTGTTTCAACCACCCCAATGCATATCTCTTTTTTGCCAGTCCCATGGGTCGTGTCTTGGTAAAGTCGATGCAACCTGGCCAAGTTGAAGTGACACGGCCGCCTACTCGGCTTCATACGACAGCCAAGCCTTTCCCTTTTTCATTCGATTATGTGGGTGAGCAGTAGGGACCATCCTCAAACAGAATCCTGGAACAAAGAAGCCCCCCCCGATCTTGGCTGGAAAGCATCTTAAGATCGTTCAGTTACTGAAAAAGGCCAACTTCGAGGGACAACCTTCGTGGCGTTCTGTTTGGTTGAAAAAACCTTTTCCATTGGATCGTGACCGATTCATGATAACTGATATATAGTTGTTTGTCATCCTCCTCTCAGAGTCTCGGTCTGGCGTGAGTCATCAGATCTTATTGAGGCATACGCAGTGAACTCCTATAGGGCTCTAAAAGGGTAGTTTTCTCATGTTTCCTCAAGAATTAAAACTAGTTAGTTAGACAGGTCTTGTTGTTCTCGCTGCCAAGCTACCCGTCTAGGGCCTAGGGGCATCGGAGAACGCACTCATCGTTGAATTAAGCATGCTTATTCTGCTGCATGGCACATGTGACTGGACCAACAATCTGAAGCCGTCCTGGCCAGCAGCGTCACGGTCACTACAGTATGACTTTTGAGAGGGTTTCAGGCTTCAGGAAGATTCTACACTCCTACAAAATGACATGGCTCCATAAAATACACGCGCACGGCAAGACACGATGCTTTTGTAGCATTCATTTTTACTAGGAATTCATGGCCCGCGTTCAGTCAATTTAATCTGTCGACACTGGTCAGTACTGACCTTGAGAAGAATGGAACTGACTATCTTGTGGGGTTTGGACTTTGGACAGGTGTGGCATAAACATCCTGCACACGTGCACTTGCTCAACTACTTTGGCACAGCTCTCGGGCCGAGAAGGGGGAAACAGCTTGAATCCAAGGGTGATTGGCTGTACTGAGGGGTGAGTTATTCAGATAATGAGACTTTTGTTTGTTTTGTGTTTCTTGGTCTTTTTGATTCATCACAAGGGTCCTGATTGCGTGACTTGGGAAAAAGCTTTTGCCATCCCTGGCTGATGGATGTGGCGCTATGCCTTCGCTGCGCCTTGGGGCGGCTCTTCTCAACACCGAGACAATGGGGTGGAAACGAGACAATAGAGAATGGCACGGTTTTCGGAGAAAGATGGGCTTTTAGAGAGCTTCATGTTGCATGGACCTTCTCGCGTCTCGTCTTCTCCCTTTCTATTCACGAAGTGGAAAGGACTGCCTGGGCTGAACATGTTTGGGAAAGGACTACCCGGCATTTGCCGCAAGTATACGTAGTCTTTGGGTCCCACGACGTTTTCAAGACTCCTTCAGCTTCAGATTGTCGGTCTTCTCGGGTTAGCATCGATGCTTGGGAGCGATGTTGGGTTCTCGAATCACAACCACGAATGGACAAGTAAAAGAAGTCTTTGAACCAGGAAACCCACCATAAAACGGTTTTTTTGCGGGTTATATAAATCACCACACAAGAGGTGATTTGTAAGGGACTGATGCATCTACAGTGGCTCTTTTTGCCTGAGATGTTGCTCTGAGGACCCAGGTTTCCGCTTGCCATCGCAGCCTACACCGACTGCCGCTTGGCCGTTTCCGCTGATTGAACAACGTATTGTCCTGTGTTCGTCTTGCATGAGAAGCTTCGTCCATGTTCCTCCCACCCAACATTGTTTTGGATTCTTTTCTAATCAATTGTCTATACTTGCTCGGTGCATGCGCATGGAGTGAGAGAGAAAACGAAGGAGAGAAGTGTGCACGTACAGACCAAGCAGAAAACGCATCAAACAAGTCGACTCAAAACCGGTGAAACTGCCATGCGAAACCGTCCACGCGATCCTTTCCCTCTCGGAAGCTCAGAGAAGGAGTGGCACCTCGTCGTAGGTGCAACGTGATTGATCTCTGTGTCACCGGTGGATCCTTCACGAAAAGGGAGGCCAAACCCGCGCCATGGCGGATCAGCTTGTGCGTGAGCAGATCAGCGAGTTCTATGACACCTTCAAGCTCTTCGACGAGGAGTGAAGCCTTCACTGAAGCGAAGTGGAACCCACCCTACCCAGTCACCTGGAGGTTCCCCCTTCCGGACGGGGTCCGTGCCGCCGGTGCACCATGAGACTTCGTTGAGTGAGACTTCGTTTGCCATCAGTTCTCATCATTCTTGACCATTCATGACTGTTTCAAGGGTATTGAGGCTCTCATACATATCCTGATATCCCTAGGGCTCCAACCATATCCTCAGGAGGTGGTATTCGACCCCCCTGGCACCCACCCCAACCATCTTCGAAACGGAGGTGGGACAGGAGCCCTAGGGTATATCCGTTCCTCACCATTCCCGCTGAATTGTCCGCTTCCGGGCCCAGGGACCTGGGCGAGCGAGCGCAGGCCCTCGAGCGCTCGCCAGGACAAGGATGACAAGCTCTCGCTGAAGGAGTTCGGTACATTGCTCAGCTCCCTTGGGCAGAACCCCACCGAGCAAGAGCTTCAAGATTGGATTGGTGGAGATGGCTACTCGGCGTTAATGACTAACCACTAAAAAGATGGCCACTGGACACTGGAGATGGCAGCCCTCCCAAGGGGAAGACATCCCTGTGTTGTTGCTGAAAATCGTTGAAGATTAATATGTAATTGAATTGACATGTATTGAATATATATATATATTTTATGAATATATTAATATGTATGTGTATGTGCGGCAGTCTGTGTTCAATTCAAATGTTCTGAAGGGACACCCTCATTCTTCAGTTCAAGGGTTGCAAACAAGCACTCAGAAGAGAAGTCGTGGACAAGGAAAAACGCTGTTTGGACCCTCAACGGCCCCTCTTTTGGGAATCACTAAATATATCCATGTCATTTGCAGTTTCATCCCAGTTTGCCACTGTTGTTGCTTCAGACATGTGTGAGAACCAAAGACAGCGACGAAACAACAACGACGCGTCGGGGTTCCGGTCTTGTGACGGTCCAGGTGAGCATGATACCACTCGCATTGACTTCCACACCTTCTTGTCATTGATGTCACGCAAGTTGAAGGAGACAGAGCCCTGGCCGAGACCACATGCTTCTCTTTGGGCGTCACATCGTGTGTTCCAAACATGATGGGAGAAAAGAGAGAGAGAAGAGAGAGAGAGAGAGAGAGAGAGAGAGAGAGAGAAGAGAGAGAAAAGAAATTGGACGGCGCAGATTTGGATGGTTTGGTCTTTCAATCGCTTCAAGTAACTATTGAAACTATTACTGTACATTAGATATGTTTTTTTTGTTCTTGGAGCTTGGACTTGGGGAACGTAACCAGGGTCAGGCTCAGGGAAGTGACGTTCCTGCAACGTGTTTGAGAGCCATGCAGTTCAGAGTTTTTCTCGGGAAACGTGTGAACAGCACAAACTACACTGCACCGTAGCGAACGAGCTGCATGAGCTCCTCCAATTCTCTAGAACCTTTGGAAGATAAGATTGGACTGTGCAGTCAACACAGGCTTGCGGCCAGTTGACTGCGATTGCTGAGGCTAGAGAGCCTGTTCCAGAGATCCTCCGAGGTAGGATTTAGCCGATGAAGTCATGACATGGTTGTTTAATTCAAGGCCGTGGCCCATTCCGGGCCCGGGCGAACGCATTTGGCATGGATTTGGCATGGTAGGTGTTCTTGACGGGATTTTCCAGGATGTTTTCTAAAGTGAACTCTTGATATCTCTTGATTATATTTCACCTCCCTAATATGAAGAGGTTTCACATTGCAAGAGTCTACATTATATAGACCTCCCTTCACGTCGACCCCCAAAGACGCGTTTCTTGCATTCTTGCCTTCACTACATAGGGAGTCCAGAAGAAATTCACATCAATTCACCATCACCAGGCTCGGAATCCCATGCAACACCCATTTAGACCTGAACCCAGAAACCATGGCCATTTTGCTGGCCACCTTCACCAAGGACACTGAAGAGGAGCTCATCGAAGCTTTCAAGGTCTTCGATCGCGACCGCGACGGTGGCCCGGACGCGTTTTTCATCGTGGCGGCGTGGGCTCGGGGCTGTCCGGGAGTCCAGGGGCCCGAGGTATTTGCTTGGTATTGGGAGGTCTTGGTGGTATGGTGAGATATTAGCTTGCCAAAAGAAATAGAAAAACCAAGAGATCGGACGAAGCAAGAAGAAGTGAAGTTCCCTCCAGGTGTCGATTCAAGTTGTAGGTGCATTCATGTACAAATCATTTGGTTGTCATGAGCCATGATACAGAAGGGATTGTGTTTTGCGAGTGTTTCCTTTTTTTTCTGCGCTTTGTCCCTTGGTCGCTACGGCCACCGATGACGCTCAAGAACTCTGGACTCTTACACAATCCGCTGGACGCAGGCTTAGCTTTCAGTGGATTTCCGGTATGCTTTCACTGCCAAGCTTACGGATACTTTTCATGATTCAAATGTTGCGGCGGTGGTTACAACACGTGCAAGAAGGTGGGGGCATGTGCAATGTTTCGCATTTGGTGGGTTAGTGTATGCTCATGTTTTGTTGTTGTTGTTGTTGTTACGTTGTTGTTGTTGTTGTTGCTGTTGTTTGTGAGATCACACGAGGGAGTACCCTGGCACGTTTGGAGAAGTTGTGACCATTTTTGGAGTATGGTATGGTACAGGGAACTGAATTGACAGCACGCACCTTGTCTAGGACAAGAATCAGGTGGGGAGGTTTTTCCTGTGCAGCAAAGGGCACGTGGTTCTACTCGTGGTTCTATAGATTCTGCAATTCAAATTGCAGCGTCGTTGGTGGACCATATGGTCCATAAGCACCTATCAAGAATCGAGGCCAGGAATCCATCCAACTCTTGGTCACGGCTTGAGCTGTGGGGTGCTGTTGGGTGTGGTATGGTGTTGTAATCTCACGGCCCTTTGGGAGGCTGGGTTGAGACAGATTGCTGACTCACCTGGCGAGCCAGGTGTTCCATTCGCTGCGAGCCATGTTCTTCAGCTTTGCAGGGTTACTCTCCCTGGAGCCCAGTTTGTAGAGGAAAATGGTTTTCCAAGGGGCTATTCTCCACCTCATTTTAGTTCCAGGGTAGTTTCTTGCTTTTGATTCAGAACGACTGACGGGTGACGTGTGATCACCCAACTCAACACACCAAAATCCCTCCAAACCGATAGACCCTCACACCCAACCCCTCCCCCGCCCAGAAACCCTCTCCTTCTGAAAAGCCTTCTTTCACGCTCACTGGAAGAATGCAGGATGTGCTTCCTCAACCTCCCCAGCCTCTCCTCCAGCCTCTCCACCCTCCCCGCGTGCTTTGAGGCTTCATCTCGGGTGGCGAGCTTCGACAGTCCATGACGAACCTGGGTGAACGCCTGAACGACACGGAGGCTCGGGGTCAGGAACCAGCGGTCACTGGATGTTCGCAATGACCGGGGGTCAGTCAGGGTTCTCCCTGTCATCCACGTCAAATCCACTGTGATGTGTTAAGCTAGGGGTCTTTCATAGCTTCAGGGAGACCAGACACGCTTCTGTAGGAGGAGAGATGCTGTGTACGGAGTATTGTGCTGGTTTGGAAAGTGGGAAGAGGTTCAGGCAGAGAGGGGTGACATTTGTGTGATTTCAATAGTGCAAAGGTCCATCATGTAAACCAAGAAAGGCCCAGCCATATAGTATATACTTTCAGACAGTCAGCTGCGCCAGACTCATGTCCCTAGCAGCTGCGGGTTCAGCACGTCGATGGTTTCGGTAGGTCGACTACCTGATCCAACGCCTCGGTCGGTGTGAAAGGCATTTTGTGTGATTTCTATCCATAGTGCATGGGAGACTAGACTGCGTCCACTTTGTCTGTCCTGGCCCCTTTGTGTTAGGCTGCGCTCCTTTCTGTGGTGTTTTCGCGAAAAACTGCCCCTGGTGTGTGACGTTCCTTTCTCGCTGTGTCCAACCGCACCGGGCTCGTGAAAAGGGCTCAACTTTTGTCATCAGGTGGATGAGATGATCAAAGAGGCAGATTTGGACGGAGATGGGCTCATCAATTATGATGAATTCGTGAGGATGATGATGGCCAGCAAGTGAGAAGAGGATGAACATGTATGGCCATCCAAGTGGGAGCCTATGAGAATGAATCAAGGCCAGAAGAAAGGCAGCGGGTGGTCTAAGGTGATTGTCATGTGAATACAACACCGAACCCCCAGAAAACATGAATCAGGTATGTGGCAAAGGATCCATGTAATAGCGGTTTTAGGGCCTTAGGATGTCCTTCACTTTTGCGAGAGGGTGGCTTAGGGTTTGGTCACTTTCAATCCGAGCAGAACTGATGCTGCAGTAATATCTTTTCATTGTTCTGTTTAGGAACTTTGACTTGAAGTGGTCCTTCTTGTGCAGGTTAGCCGGATAAATTGCGGTCGGGTCATGACGGTGGCGTTCAAGGTCATTACGGTGGTGTTTCTGTCGTGAGACAAACATGTCAAGATTGGTGAGTAGAAAGCACCTCCAGCACCATATGCTCACCTTTTCTCCTCTTAGCATGACTAAAAGACACAAGACATCCTGGATAGACCTTGAAGTTGTTGAGGAACGGCAGCCCCATCCAAAAGAACTGGTGGGATGGTTTCACAATCACATAGGCTGTCACATAGGGATCATCTTGCGGAGGGTTCGCAATAGCATTGTCAGGTGCTGCAGAAATACTTGACCCAGGAGTTTGCAAGAAAGCCTTCCATATCCTTCCATCTACAGAGTTTCCAGTCAGTTCATCGCTACAAGGGTGGAGGCCATCGCAGGCCATTGCTACTACAAAAAATGCAAGTTCTCCCTCAGAGACTCCGATAAAACCTGCCGTGGAACCCACTGCCCGGCCGACCGCGTCTCTCGCGCGGGACTCTCGCCAAAGGCGACCTGTCCGCGCTTTGAACCCGTCCGTTCGGGGAAGCGTTTCACCCACCGGGCTGACGCCACTGCGACATGGCCAACTCGTGCCCCATCGCGGTGGAAGAGCAACGACCTTAAAGAACCCCGAACTGGCTGGAAGAAAGTGCGTGATTTTTCAGTAGAGGGCGAGTTCTTCTGTGTTTTTGGGGATTGGACTCCGCACACTGGCTTGCACAAGACGTGGGTGCGATGTGACTCCAACTCGCTAACACAGAAGTGGAAACCCAATCCTCAAGAACCCTCACAAAGATGAATGTCTCCAAGCTCGTGCTCGTCCTTGTCTTAAGTCGCTAGCTTTACAGACCCTTTTTTGTTCTTGCTTTGATTGACCAGCAGACAAGTTGAACCCCCTGGAAGACAACGTGCTTGTAGCCGCCGAGGGTCGTGTTTTTTCTCTCAGTGGCCGAGTTTCCCAAGAACCACGTGTAGCAACATCTGAGGTTAGCGGTAGGAGGTTGACTAGCTGGTGCCTCCTCCCGGAGCGACTGAGGGGAGCGACTGGGGGGTATCAATCTTCCAGAGCAGCTACAGTTCCCCAAGGAAAAGAAGAGCACAATGAATTCCTGCACGAAGAAGCGCCATGGCCTTTTTGGGGATTTGCCCCGCCATGGCGGTGAAGAGAAGGGTCATTAACCTTCCGGCAGCTCTTTTCGCCCCAAAAGCCATCTTCCCTTGTGTTGCACCCCGAAGTCGGGGTGAAGGACAGCAAGGGTACAAGAGTCATCATGAAGGACAGGAAGCTCCACGGTGGAGAACTCTGGGGCGACCTCCTTACAGATGGAACTTGAGGTCGTATCCGTTTTTTGATCAAGAGGAGTCCTCCCCTCCCCCTCCGCCAAAAGAAGCTTCCAGAATAGATGGTTTCCAGATGGAAGTAGGTGGAAGGTAGGTGCAAGTCAGTGACCTGTTGCACTCAGAAAACACCCGGACATGCAGGGCACCCGGAACGCACGCATGTCCGGGGACCGAGTTCTCACAGGTCTGGGCACTGAGCTGGTGTCCGGGGACGTGTGGACGGTGGCTCGCGAAGTGGACAAGGCAACTCGAAAGAAGTGCTTGGATTTGGATTCGTCCGAAGATGGTTTGAGGATGTCGAGACACACACACACACAAAGAAATCCCAACACGTGAGCAGATCAAAACTCTTTTTTCAAAGGTCCTAGGCTACTTCTGACATGTTCACGTTTGTGGCACAGCACCACACGTTTGGGCAAGGACGCCAGATGTGAAGTCGGATTCATGACCTGCTCCAGCGTGTTGTGGTTCATTCTTTGAGTGCAAGTCTGTGAAGCTTTGGGATCCCCAAGAGCAGCTCCAGACGCTTCAAAACAGATTTATCGGTGTTGTGTTGTTTTCTAATTGCTACGTCAATAATGTATACATATGTCCAGGAATTTGCTGTGATCATGTGCAATCAACTCTGAATCTTTTTGTCACTGGAAGGCGCTGCAGCTTACCCATGTGCCGCCCCAGTATGGTTTGGAGCAACTTGGATGGAATAGTAACTACAGTCCGACGTTTTGGTTGTCTTTTGCTGTATTTCAGCAGATGAAATCAGTTGGCCCAAGCTACCCAAACTATGGCCAGGCCCCCCCTGGAAACAACAATACCGACCCTGTTTGCTTGGTGCTTCAGGTGGAAAAGTACTTTCCAAAAGTGCCTCACCCTCCCCCTGGCAACAGCAGCTACAATCGGAGGCCATAAACCTCATTATATAGAATTCATTGCAACTTTTTGTTTGAGGCTGCATCGTGTACAAGTCATTTGCACAACCAGATGAGCACTCACATATGTGGCCGCCTTCACATGGGAGAGTTGGCTCGTTCATGTGGTTGTTCATGCTTGGTATGGCATGTTTGACAGACTCGAAGGCCAGGACTGTTGTTAGCTAGTCGAACCTGGAGGTGCCCTCATGGTAAAGGCCGATCATTTCTTTTCCCGGCCCTCAAACACCATGTAGCAATGTTGCTTGACCTCCCAGGTAGGTCAGGTAGGTCAACACTGGCATCCTGGTTTTGACACAGAGCCCACAGCCAAATTTCTCTTGAACCGTCTCAATGACAAATCCAGAGTGGTCGAGGATTTCCAGCATCAACAGCTTTCAATTCAGCGCAAAGCTCTTTTTGTCCCCACCTTAGGAAGGGAAAAGCAAAAGCTTACAATCCTCATTCCAGCCAAGCAAGTTATTTTTGTTCAACGTCAGTTTCTGTTCTTGACAGCCCAGTGATCGTAGCCTCAATTGGCCTCATGATTTGCTAGATCCAGGCTGTCGAATGCCTTCTTCGGCTTGGAACGATCGGGGGCAATTCCAGGAGGGCCGGGGAGCTTGGAACGTCTGGGCCAGAGTTGGCTGGAGCCCCAAACCTGGAGCTGGAGCCACAAACCCTGATGTCTGGTAGTCTATTCTGTCCATCCTCTTGCCACTTCAAGATATATGATGTGGGACTGGCGCCATTCTGAATGTTTGACATGTTTTTGTATGTTTTTGTTTACCAGCACCCGACTCTACAAACAGGTCTCTGAAATGGTGGCTTTTGACTTAAAAGTCGCAGGTGGTGACCTGTAGAGTCGGGTGCTGGTATACCTTTACAATTGCCTCTTCAATTGGAACGACAGACCGTTCCGCGCGCGAAAGCGGGGTTTCACCGGAAGCGAGGTGAAACGACGGTTCGATGGCCCGAAAGAAGTGATGTATTTGAAAGGATTTAGTATAATAAAGATAAGTATATGTATAAGTATAAGTATTGTAATATCTAAATAAGTATTGCAATAATAGTATTGTATTTGATCTTGAGTATTGGAATATATTTCAGAGATGATATGCCAAAAGAAATTCACAGACCGTGCTGGATTGTCCCTCTACATTAGATTATATTTGTATACACATTTGTGTCTTGTAGCTTGGGATGGCCTTAGAGAGAGTGGGACCCGGCCCGCCTCCTTTGACCAAACCGTCCTGACCTGAGCTTCCAAGCCCCCAGGAGCCATTGAGGATTGCGCCTTGGGCATGGCGGTGCTGGTGTTGAATGCCCTGCCCCAAGCAGAACTTCGCTTTGGCACCAGGACGAGCCGGCCGTGGGATCCGAGCCCAATGATTCGCGACGAGATCGTGGAGGGATCCGAGTTCGCTGCTTCGCGCCGGTGGGTAGCTGTCGTTTTGCAAGGGGGTGTATTGTACTATATATATATTATATTAATATGTATAAACCCTGGAAAAAATGAAGGATCCGTGGCAAAATCAAGCCAGGAGGGCCAAGGAGTATTATATCCTTTATGAAGAACTTCTCAGACGCTTGAGCTGTGTGTGGGGGCGCAGAAGGCTGGGCTGAAGAAGGAAGAAAGGTAGGACCAGGTGAGCCTGTGAGCCAGGTGGCAGAAGGAAGATGTCACCGTATTTAGTATGTGCCACTGCGGCTTTTTTACTCTCAATTAACATTAAGAGTCGGTCGGCGCATGTCGGTGCCTAAGAATCACTGAGAATTTCCTTGGTATTCATTTGCTGCTCGATGCGGGGCTAGGGGGGCCCAGGCTTTAGCCACGATTGTTGAAGCATGTGAACAGCTGCGTGCGTGGCTCAATGTTACGACCCCCTGCCAGATGAGTTGGCCATTTCACTGCGACTGGCATCATAGCTTTTATGTGTTTTTTTATATACGATTGTTCACAACCCCTTTCTAATCACAAGTTCCTTGCACCTTGGCAGTTCTATGTTCGATTGGCTGTGTTCGGGTTACCCAGAGGAGCTGTGTTGCGCAAAAGCGCTGCTGTCACTATGGGCCAGGCTATGGGTAGTAAAATGTGTAAGGTGAAGAAGAGGTGGAAACATGTGGAAACAAAGTTGCGAACTTGTCCTGAAACATTGGAGGAGGTACTTGTGGGTCCCTGGACCAGATCTGCATCCATATTTCCAATCAAGGCAAAAGCCGCACCGGTCTCGAAAACGGTGTCCGGTCTCCCACGTCCCTCCATTTGTCACTCAGAAAAACCCCATTTCTTCGTCTCCACAGCAGAAGCAAGGAAGCTACGGGCATTTGTGGAATGCCTCGGGCTTCAAATGGAGCCTCAAGACCCACCAGTCCGTCCCTTTGCCGAGTTGTGGAGGGTCTGTGGTGTGGCGTCAATGCATGGACTAGCAGCTAAGGCTTTGACATTGAAGATGTTTGAGCAACTTTTTGGGGTAGGTGCTTTGGCACGATCATCATTCCTAATCCTAATCCTCATCCTCATCCTCATCCTCATCCTCCTCATCCTCCTCATCCTCCTCCTCATCATCATCATCATCATGCACCATCGAACTAACACCCAGCCTGAACATGGAGACAAAGAAGGACCATATGTTGTTGCAAGCCGACCATTTCAAACTACTTGGCAGGGTCATTGGAACAGGTTCAGGCATGTTGTTTGTCAGTCTTGGTGTGATATCTTTCTGGAGAGAGGTGTAGTCGAGACAAGCTGTGAATACGAACCTGAAGCACTGACAGGACACGTAGGAGTGATAGCTTTCGAGTAGAGTAGAGCACTTGCAGATGGAAGATGAAGGAAGATGGTCTGGAAATTGGATAGAATCAAGTATATCTTGTACAACTGGAGTAGATTTTGCAGAAGGAAGATGAAGGAAGATTGTCTTGAGTTGCTTTGGGGAAGTGATACAGGATTAGCCTTTGACACGAGCAGAGATGTCGGCACGCATGCTGGTGCCAATGGCAGGAAGATGGAAGATGTAAGGATCAAAACTGAAGAGTTATCACCCGGAACAGGCTGGCTATCCTTTGATTCTGGGTCTTCGCCCACAAAGCTGCTTCGGATTGGATTTGAATCTTGCCAGAGTCAGTGATGTCTTGGCGCTGGTCAATACATTTACAGTATTATCATGCATTTATTCCTATACATCCACTCAGCCAAACATGGCATGGGGGTTTGGACGTTCAGGGAGAGTGATATATGGTCCACCAAAAGACCACTCTACTACACATTACTACACGAGAGAGCGAGAGAGTGTTTGTTCCATACCTTTTGTTGATATCACTTCGGGCAAGTGTCAAGTGTGCTGCATCCACATCCTAGTGGTTGACTGTTACCTATATATTGTACAGCTGTAAGCACACCGTGACTCACATTTGTTTGCTTTTTCATAATGATGTCCCATTACTGGTAGTGCAGAGTCATCATGAACAGCTGACATGCTCAGTCTGAGGAAGATTTTCGTCTATGAGACGGACTTCGCCAGCAAGCCAGTGATTTGTAGCCAAGGGATGTTTGCCAGCGAGGTCTCTTGCCAGCAGTGCATGAAAAACGCGGCCTGGCTAGTGGCTAGTTGGTGCCTTGTGACGGAGCAACACGGGGTCGGAAGCATGCGTATTCCCCATGTATTCCGGGAGCTGTTCGGAGCTACAGTCCCCTCTAACCACTTGCTTGCGAGATGGTGTGTGGGAACATGGGTTGAATCTTGGATTGCGCGGGACGACCTGGACTGAGAATGCCCAGACATAAGAAAGAACCGCCCAAGTGTTTGGTGACCGGTGGCTGAGGCAAATGATACCCCGTCACTCTCCCCCCCGGCAGGTGAGCAGTGGCAACCCGTGCGACCCAGACACTCCATGGAATATTTACCTACCTCCGGTTCAGGGGACCAATGTAGCCACACCATCCATGGAGTGCTTGGGATATGTGGCAAAACATCGCTTTATATACTGTTCACAAGACCGGCGACCATCTCAGGCGTTTTGAGCCTTTGCGCCGAGGTCTTCGTTCATCAATTTCTGCTGCACAGCTCATGCCACACTGAAGACCCCAACGAAGCTGATTTCTTCTTTGTGCCGGTCTACGCGGCCTGCGTGATGACCAAGGAGAAGAAGTTGGCAGATGAAGCTTGATCATTGGAGATCCGTTGCCGAGATTTTCCTACACCAAGACGTTTTGGAACTGACGCGGTCCATTCCGGGCAACGGCATGGAAGATCACAAGCAAATCCAGAAACACAAAAACACATTGGTTTTTGTACCCCAATGAATTTGGAGTTCACACTCCAAGTTTCATAAGACGTTCTTCTTAGATTTCTTAGGGCGGGTTACCGATCCAATCTTCGCCTTCTAAGCGACCAACTGTTTTACAAGACTTTTGACACTGCAGGTTGACTCTGGCCAACCATGGCGGGCATGGCCAGAAGCTGATAGACATTGATAGACCTCGCAATATATATATATATATATCCATGGTTCAAGTCAAGGTTGGATTGTTTGTTTTTCTTCAGTCTCTCAAGTTTTACTTGGCACATCCATGTGGCCCACTTGGTCAGTGTTCGCTTCTTTGGGACACCGAGGCCCCCCTTGAAACATGGCTTGATTTGGGCGAGGTCAAATCACAGAGCGCCATCAGCAATCAGCAACGCAGGGCCTCCACTCTTGGGGTGATATAACGAATGGTGAGACTTGCTGAGCAGGCAGCTCAAACGATGTCTTCATACCCTGCATGTCCGGAATGAGACTTTGCTAAGGGCACCCTGGGTGCAAAGTGAGTCTCGACTCTGAAAGCGAGTTATATGTTATATAAGGAGATGGATTTCTTCTACAAGGAGCTGGTGACGGAGAAGCTTCGGTATTTTCAGGACCAAGGAGGTCAAGATCATATCTTCCTTTGGTCTTCCGAGCTTTTTGTTTGCACTGGTCACTAGTCGAGTCACGAACGTGTCACTAGTCATGAAAACGGGCAGGTCCTTCAAGCCATTGGACTACCGATCCTCAATATTCTGCCTCGATAGAAGTCCAATGCAACTGTTATTGGTAATTTATATAATCAGCACAATATACAATAGTAATAATCAGTTGTTAGTGGCATTTTTTAATATACAGTATTGATAACGGTAATCCAGCACACGCCAATTGTAGGAGCATTGTTACTGGCATGTACTGCAATGTACTGTCATATTCTATACCTGTCCAAATTTGTTGAAGGGAATCAGATTCCCCATGTTGTCAAGGACCTACGATTTCCCATCATGGGTGGATTACATCGCTGATTCGTTGTTTCTTTCAGTTGAAGCTGTGCCAATCGAGTGCGCCGTGGCAGCAGGGGAGCTCACCAGAGTCGAGGTGAAACTTGGTCAGATGATTTTAGATGTGCCTAGAACTGGTGGAACATCATCGTACTTGCCTACAAGAAAGGAAGGGTATATTCTTTGCAGTATACTTCTTGAATGAAACGGGGCTGGCCAACGGCAGTCCAGACGCATGATACGCATAAAAAAAACGGCAGTCAAGCACAGACGTGCCTAGCTATAGGTACAGACTTCGACTTTTTCTCTGAAGAGACGGCAGACAACTTTGGAGCTCATTGTCAGCATTGCCACTGGTGCTTCACCCGTTGGAAGGACTATGTGATCCCTGGCTTTGTTGACCCTCGGCTGGTTTCTTAGAAAGGAACTGTGCAGCTGTTCGGCATGTATGGACCCTATGTTCTTTTCCCGGCGCGGCCTTTTTCTTTCCGGCTCAGGAGAAGTGGAGCATCGAAAAGATGAGGGATCTGGAAAAATCACATGAAGAAAGGACCTTCACAGCCTGCTACTGGGCCGACTGGGCCGAGCCAGGATCGCCAAGAAGGAAGGATGGACTTGGGCTGGAGTGGAACGGCCACACGGGCCCCGAAAAACAGGACCTATATCAATTGGATTCATATTCGACATCAGACTTTGCCACCAACTTTTTTTGTATGGCCTTTTTGGTGGCATTCCTGAATCACAACTGGCCGTTTCCCTATACCTATCTCTGTTGGACGCTTGGATTTGAGCTTCCGGAGCATTGATGCTTCAATCTGTTTCATGCTGTCCAAGGTTATCATGGAGCAGACTCAGATGCCCTGGCCATCTACAAGTACGCCAATACCACGGCCACTTCGCTCGGGGCTCGGTCTTCGACCGGGTCCAGGGTCCGGGAGGGTGGGTCGAGGTGGGAGGATGATTCCGCTCCCTATGGATCCACTGCCACCGAACCTCAGAAGGTAGGCTTGGACCCTCCAAGACCTCCTGGCGCCTACATACTGTAGTCTCCAATCAACGTACCTGAGAAGGTATGTGGATCCACAGATGACTGTTACTTGGAAGTGAATAGTAGTGACTATAATTATAATGAAAAGAACGTCAATCAGTACCTTTCATCAGACGGCTCGTTTTTGATGCGCCGTGTTTTTTGTTGCGCAAGTATGTTTGAGGAGGTGGTTCGTTTTCGCTGCCTGACGGGAGGTTCCAATGGTCCAATGTTGGATGACCCTGAGAGGGTTGTAGATGGTCCACACTGCGACTGGGTCCTCACATGGTCCGTGCATGGATGGATCATGATGGATCCCTCTGCATAGCGCATAGCGAGCCAGCTTGGTGTCCTCACATGGCGGCTTCTTTTTTCTTTCTTCTTGGTGTATGAGAAGTGGGGAGAAGAGCCAGCAACGGATCCCTGGACGCCGAAAGCATCCGATTTGGGAGATGACGTAATGCAATGCAGTTATATGCATCTATCCAGTGAAGCTGAGGAAGGATTTGTTCATATAGGCCGATAGAAGTGAAGAAGACGTGGTCCAACAGTCCAACAGCAATAATGGCCAATGATTGTTACAATGCTGAGGGTTAATGAAACTCTCACCAAACCTAGAGACCTTTGAAACAACCACTGAAGCAATTCTTGAACATCCACATCCACCGCCTTTGTCAGGACTCACGTCGCGTTTCGCACCTCACGTTGCTCGTCACGTGAGGTGCGAAATGACCTGCAGACACTGAATGGACGCGCCAACTTTAGCATCGGCTACCGCTTCACCAGAATCACGGACCGGACCCGGTGGCATCCATTTTTTGGGTTTGGACCATGAGTGGCATGATCCCTCATTTCTGCTTGAAAAACACGTGTCTCTCTTAGGATCGGAGTGGCATGACAATGTATGATAATGTATGGACATGTGGTGAGCCTTTGATTGAAAGGGGAGGAAGTGAGAATCTTGAAGTTCAGCAATTTGGCCTACAGGGCCTGCGATGTTTTTCCACATTGACCCTAGAGAGTCAAACGAACCCACACATCCTTGGTGGAAGATCGAAGCCTCACCTCATCCCACGAGTCGGGTCGACCGGGTCGTTGCCAGGTCGTTGCCAGGTCGACTGCCGGCGCAAAACGGCGTCCGGACTCGGGGAGTCGAAAGCAGGAGTACTTCGAGCGCATCGGGGAGTGCCACTTTTGCTTTGCGCCCAAGGGTTTGGGCCCTTCGGAACGGAGACCGGGGGACGGGGACCTGACATGTGGTGATGGATGGGCGAAAGCGGATCAAGGAGTCTAGCGAACGCACCACCGGTAGTACCAAGAGCGCCCTTGAGGATTTTCAGGGATATCCATGACCCAGAGGAACCTGATAGTAGAACAAGTCATTTGATGAGTTGGAATTCTTGTAGCTGGCTGTCCCCATTGAAGGCGGTATCCAGATGGATGATCCGTGACCTGCCGACCACATGGACGAAACTTAAGGAACCCATCGCCTTTGGAATAAGGGGCGGCCGCAGTCGTGGTCCTTTTTGCTGGGAGCTTTGTACGGGCACAGCTGGCCAGCAGCTGTTTTGTTTGACACCGATTGGAACCGCAAGCAAAGGATCCATTTGGATTCTATTTGTACATTTTGGATGGCCCAGCTTATTGGCCAGCATCACCTTGTAAGGGCCAAGCTGTACAGAACTATCGATCAGAGGCAGATCCAGAGGTTCCAAAACAGAGAATAGAATAGGAATGATCTCGAATATAGATGGGATCACTAAACTACCTACGGTTCACCTACCAGTTCCTCTCTTGGATATGAATACTTTTGGTCAAAAGTTGGTGTTCTTTTCTGGGTTCACTACACAGGTCCTGAAACCGTTGCTTGACTTATTGACCAATTGTGTGATCAAATAATACGGAGCCGAGCTGAACTAAGCTGGTGAATTGGTTTCGATCACTTGTTTTGGGGTTTGGTGTTTGAAAGACTTTTGAGCATCCATACACACACACACACACGTATGTATGTATATGTATATATATATATAGAGATGAGAAACGGCAATCCCATCACCAAGACATCGATGATCATCGATGGCCCATTGCATTGGTATGCATGCATGCATCCACATGTCAGACTCCAACAAAAACCCAGCAACCCGTCCAGACTCGGGACCAAAATATACGAAACCCCAGAGAAGATGGAGATCTCCGTCTCCGTCTAAGGCTCTCTTCTTTCACGTCCCTGGCACCGCCCGAGCCAACGAACCCCGAAAAGCGCCGGTCAGGTTACTGGAGCAATCGGCTTTACGAGGTGTTGTTCGCTGGATGCATCCCAGCGACTCAGTAGCTTTTGAGAATGCAGCTGGGGAGGAAAGGGGGCAGGCAATTCCCTTCGCAGTCCTTGTGTGGAGGATGTTTTCCTCCCATGGTCCATGTATCCACATCCTGTAGCAAGCTGTCAGACATGGTGTCAAGTTAGGCCACCCTTTGACAAAATTAAATTTACGAACTGCCTTACCATCACCAGATGCTGAACCGGCCCAACTGATCAGGAGTCATGTGCTGGTCCACTGATCCTGGAGTATGGCTGAAATGATGAAAGTTAATATCAGTTTGTGAGAGGCAGGCAGCTCCTGAAACAACACAACAAATTGTCATAAATATCCTCGTTTTGTTATGTTGCCTGACTTGATGCATCGCAGTTTTTGTGTCTCATCCTTCCCACTCTTTGTGCCACTCCTCTTCCGCCGCCAGCACGTCGAGACGAGCGTAACTAGCTTCTTGTGACTGCCAGGAGCGCCCCGGTTCGATGCCGCCTTCCGCCCGTCTTGCTCCGTTCCGGTGGCCTTCAAAGACTGGCTCCGTTCGAGACGCATCCTCTGAGTTACGGACGCATCGCGTCCTCGCGGGGGCCCTCAGGTGATCCTCTCGGATCACATCGGACTTCCCTTCGACGACTTCTTGGATTGGCGCCGCGGAACGGAATGGCCGGAGCCCGGACGGGCGAGGTGACGGCGAGGTGACGGTGAATGTAAAGAAGGGAGGGCCTAGAAAAGCTGGCGGAAGACCCCTGTTCAGGGTCTTCCAATTTGGTGAAGACACAGATTTAACCATATATTAAATATATAGTATATTATTATACCTTGATTTACCTTGACCCTCCCAGAAGGGAATCCGGGTTTTCTGGGAGGTGTTTTCACACACCGGTCGGTTCGGTCCTGCTAATTACTTGGGTCAATTCGTCGACCTTGTTGGTTTTCTGTTTCGATTGTTCCGAATGTTGGCTGGGGAACCCATGGCAGGCGTTTGGACCGTTTGGACAGTGACCACAGATTGGTTTCATGGACAAGGGAAGTGATATTTCAGAGCCCCTACTCCAAACAATGCTGTTGTTTCAAGATTTGGTAGCGCAGAATATGCCAGAGGATGCTGGGTCAATGCGCTACATCCCCAAAACAGAAACCCAGCAACGCCCGACGATGTTCGCGGTCTCATGGTGAAGAAGCGTTCGACTGCTCGACGTGAAGGCGTGCGATGGTGCCAGCGCCAGCGCCCTGTTCATCTAGTGATTCTCGAAGAGTGGGCACTTAGAGTCCTAAAGCCGAATGATCCCTGGATTTGCTACAGGTCCTGATAAACGTTTTACTCTATATAGTTTTTCAATGTTTTTTCAGACTTGCACTTTGCACAATCCCGCATTTCCAAACGTATCACTTGAGCCTTACTCCACTTCACTTTCAGATATTTTGGGACTTCGGTGTCGCCTTTTGTTGTGCAAAGAGAAGATGATGAGTGGCCTTTGATCTCAGTTGAAGTTTGCTCCACTGAGGAGCACCTTCTCTTTGAAGTGGCCTATGTCAGAGGCCTGAGCCGCTCGCGTAAAGAAAGCGGCTCCCCCACAACTCCGCAGCTGCCGGGTCCAGGTTTGGAGCGGAAAACGGAGCCTTTTTTTGGCGCGGTGAGACAAAGAATTGACCCTTATAAGTGTATCTTTGTTTCCCTCAATATGTTTGTTTCCCATGGCCAGTTTGCACTGGCCATTTTTGTTTTTCACACGGAAGAGGCTCTCCCCCCGAAAAAACTATGGACCCTGAACAAGGGTTTCATCATTTTCTCAAAGAACATGTAGATAAGTCACACTTGACCGCAGAAAGCTACATAGGAGGCCAACCCAGTGGCTCTTTCACTTCTTTCGGTCTCGGGTGATCAGTGTGATATGTGCCGACCCAAAAGGCTAATGGCATGCCAAGCAAGACATAGGATCTATGTTTAGACATTGTTTTGTCAACCACTCTAGTTGGGTAGGTCAAGAACATGAAACACACGATCACTATGAAGTTCATGGGTCATCAGAGGACCGGCTGGGCCCCAAGTAGATAGTCCAACTCAGTGTCCAATGCAATCTTGTTTTCACTGTTTGTTGACCGCATCGCCGCATGCGGCGAAGTAGCCTGGGCCTTTTGGTGACTTTCCCGAGCGAAGGTGGGCCCTGTCCTGGCAGAACACTTGGAACTGCTACTGCAGAACCAGTCGCTGAACCCGCACGGTGATGGTCGGGTCATTCCGGTTACCGAGAGTGGCCTTTCTTGGTAGAAACTGCATCAAACCGGTGTATTTATGTGCAGTGCAGTTAAATTCAGGAGGTCTGGTAAAAGTCTCGATAGACATGAACTGAGATTGACACCGGGAGTGGAGGGATGTGGAGGGTACGGGTGTCCATTGTTTGCTCACTTAACTGAAAACCACTCCTATGCAACGGCTGGTTTGTGTTGACGTCTCCAGAAGTACATCAGTATCACCTTCCAGGGGTCTACTTAAGTGAAACGCTTTGACTTTTGCTTTGAACCATGAGGCTCAACTAATGACTTCAGCTTGAAAAAGTATCAGAGGATGTTCTGTGTTGGCGTACCTGTTTCTCTTATCAGGGCCATACCGAACCCTGGTCTTCAGACCCCAGGAACGACCTAGTGAAGCGGATGCACGAGAACGTCCGGCGAAACAGGCCCGTGGATGTGGAAACGACGCGCCCAAGTCAGTCAACGAAAAGGACAAACACCAACCACATCCAACCACTTAAGAATCTTCAGAAGACCAAGATTGGTCGGAATGGTGTATCGATTTGAGCCTTCTTTTCGCGTTCGTTCTCGATGTGAGCGTTCCGGAAGGGCATTGTCGAACCAGCGCGTGCCTCACAGGTGCTGGTTCGACTACAACTCTGAGGACTTGGACACATGCCGTCACCGCCTCCTCGGTCGTTTGGGTACCGACCGCGGCCGTGGTCGTTTGTTCGACCGCGTCAGGATCCCAACTGCTCACCATACCTGGGCCTTCTGCGCTTCTTGCAGAAGAAGAAGGCTGCCATGCCGCGCTCCCCAGGCAGCCAAACTCCGAACGTGGGGAGTAGTTGGAGTTCGGGCTGTCGAGTGGTGGTGACACTTGTGGACTCACGAGAGTTGAAACATGCCCTGGGCTATTTCCTCTTTAAATATCATCGGGGCGTTGAAATCTCGGAATCTAGAAGGGGATGTCAAATATTATAGCAGAGAGTTTGGTCAAGAGAGAGTTCTGAACGAGGTTTCCAAGAGATTCTTCGACTATTTGGTTGATTTCTGTTTGATCATAATCTTGGACATTCAGGATGCATGGTTGGCGGCGGATGGGTCAAACCTGTGCAGACCCTGTTTGACCTGCAAAGTCAACTCCCCGTGGCACATGACGAGCGCCACCACACATCAACAAGCGCGGCAAGGAAGACGTTGGGACTTTGCATCGCCACCCGCCCGGGGGAGCGCAACACATCAAGCGCAGCAAAAAAGGAGTGATGAACAGCTGAGGTGTTGTGAGGTACTGCACCGTTTGCTAAGTTTGTAAGATTGCGATATGGGTCTTCCAAGAGCCTTCCGAGTGGCAATGCGCAGACAGCATTTGGGGGAGAATAGTACCCTAAGTAAGAATCCCGCGGATTTTCTGCGCACAGAATAAAGGTCAGGATGTGTTCAACAAAGATTATCCTACTGTTCCTGGGTCGATCATGCAAAGGCTTCAGCTCTACAATGATTCTAAAGGTGCTGCAACCATCGAGTCGAAACTGCTCATCGAAATTATGTAATCGTTTTGGGAGTTACAGTATATATCTGATAACTTACTTATAACCTTATTGCACGTGTGCGGTAATCTACTAACCACGATGTTTCCACTATTTGCAGAACTAATCCTTTGAAGACGAAGACTTGTTTATGGCCTCAACATGGCCAAAGCACCCATTTACATGGGCTGGTGCCCGGCGCCGGTGTCACAGATGTTGATATCATCAGTAGACATCCTATAATGACTATATTGACATCTGATCACCAGCGATGACCATTCGTGTGTTTGTGTGATGTCCCATTGTGGACATGTCTTCGCCCGCTCGTGCCCGTCTTATTTTCTCTCATCTTGGTGCACCTTCTGAGCGCCACACATTTGCAGCCCCAAGCATCAAGGGACATGTTCGGCACACTGATTCTGCGTTCTGCTCATGTACCGTCTCGGCACGTTCGGTGCCGTTCAGACCTTGCTGGCTCGAACGCGGGGTGGGAAACGTCGCCCTTTGCAGTCTGGCCATGCAGGCAGGTCGCAAGGGGCTGGCCTCTCCCTCCTCAGATTTTGGTCGGAAGTCGACAAAAGTGGTAGTAACCTTAGCAGGACTTGCTCTATTACATTATTATATCTACATATATGATGTCATTAATGTTATATTGCTTTTACAACATATTACCGTATATAAGTACAGTACACTGGCGGAGTTTGGAAAGCTCCTTGCTGTTGCAATACAGGCCATGATTGTGTTCTGAGTGATTGAACTGGCTCCCGGATGGTTCCGCTGAGTGTCTGACATGATGTCACTCTAGACTCTGGACCTGGGTATGGACATGAGCGTGGTGAGCACCATCCAAGTGGATGTTCTTCTCATACGGGCCTACTCCACCAGCCCTTGACTATGCATGGTATGCAGTACGGGTCCACAGTGAAGCCGAGTGAAGCCGATGGCCAGGTTTGCTTGGAAACGAAACTGCCAAAAGTGCTTTGGCTGCGTTTTGCGTCGGAGCAGGGGTGCTATGTCAAAACAGGGACGCCACAGTCACATGGGGCTGAAGATCAAACCAGCCTGCACCAGGAACGCACCAGAGGTGGTCAAAAAGGCCCGCACGCCGACAGAGCGAACTTGACCTTTGATCCGGAAGGAGCTCGGTGAGCGCCAAACATTCATTCTACCAGCGTGAAGTCCCAAACACGACCAATTACGTGTGCTTGGGAGCCGATCAGTAGCCCATGTTCTCGGAGTTTTGGATATTATTTCTAAAGACTTAGCCATTTGCAATGCTAAAAGGTGTCAAATGAAACCTGTTGTTTTGCAACTAAGATATGGTCCAGAAGGATCCATGAGGCTTATTATGTAAAACTATATAAATCTTATTGATTCTTACACCTTGCTCACATGAGAAACACGATGGAAAAAACAGCATGTTCAACGGCTCGACACCATTTCTGGGTTCCTATCTCGATGACGCCGAGGATGCTCTTGCAGCATTCAAGGTGTCGACCTCAGATCTTGGCGCAGCGGGTTGCTCACCCAACACCGTCCAAACAGTTCAGAGAACCTACCTACCAGCAGAGGTTGAAGAACCCTATAGCCCTATAGATTATCCTATAGGTACCCCTGGTTACGGGTCCTATAAGGTCACTTAACCTTTGTAGGTACCCTCCGTGCAACAATCATGAAAGTTGACAACCCACTCTTAGTAGAGGACAGTCGTCCTGCAAGGGGCCAGACATTCCACTTCCATGGTTGTTGCCAGGCTTTGCAATCTACTGTAAAGACCACATGAGCCAAGTGGATCATATACTCAGCAGCCTACCCAACAGTTTGGTAGTGACAAGGTCGTGGAAACTTATCCTCCTGTTCAGCTGGCTGAAAGCAACTCGAAAAACATATTTGCTTGAAGCATGCTTGAAGGGGCGACGCTTCTTCTGGAAGGAGATGGGGCTTGTATTAGCCAATGGGGACTTGCACTGGTCAAACAAACGGCAGACAGGTGAATTGGTTTACTGTACTAAGAGTGCCAGTCCAGCCCCGTCACTGAAACGCTGCCAGCAGGAAATGAGAACACGCAGCAGGGTGTTTTCCACGAAAGAGAGAAGTTACAGGCAACGTAGAGTAGAGGGTCTTTCAACATTGGTTGGTTGGCGAAGAGAGGGGATGCCCCCAACTGTAGAAACAAGATAGGTACTGATGCTATATGGTACCAAACCGACCCTCTATTATTCTGTCCTTTATTGGTCCTTCCGGCAAAGAAGTTCTTCCTGGCAAGTGACCGGCACAACACAGAGGCACTACAGATGAGAGTCGAGTGTCAATTTGGACTTTCAGTCAGCAGCTCACTTTTCACCCGTTTGGATTAGTTTTGCTCCAATCTCCAGTGACTTTTTCCTAAAGCTGAAGTGATCAGACCAAACCTGGGTCCTGGACTGGCCAGCTTTGCTTGGCTCACACGACTCCAACGTTTCGACTTGCCGGCGCCTGAGCAAATCAGGTTGGCACAGAGAGGAAGCAAACAATGCTTGAGGTGAGAAAAACGGGCGCGTCTTGAAGATGATTTCCTCGCAATCACTGAATTCAGACAGTTGTGAATCTCTGTGCGGATGGTGCGGACAGGATTTTGATGTGCAAAATGGATCTACTGTATTTAAATGGCGTGACCCGTGACCTAGTAGATTTGGATAGATTTGGGATTGTACATGTCCTTTTGTTTCTCAATCATTCCCTTTATTGGATGTTGAGGGGGGGGGCCGTGCAAAATCAGAGGTTGTTGCTGCAACACAGGGCTGAACCAGGTTGCTTGCTAGTTCTCTAGCAGAGAGTCATTTCAACCGCTTGATCATTTGGGTTGCCAGCGTGTTGTGTAAGTGTAACGCCAATCATTAGACAATTGACTGACACGTTTGGCGCTGAGCTGGTGCTAATTGAGTTGCATGAAACGGCTCTTGCTTGGTACAGCACGGGAAGTAGAACAAGTTGAGGGGAGACCCTTTGGTTGAACCCTCATCGAGGCCCACAAGGCTTGTTCAGGTTCTCTACATGGAAAACGGTGTTTCTCAAACACATCATTTGCTCGGGTGGAATGCGTGCTTTATCTAGACGTGTTCCACTGAGTTCGACTTCCACCAGCTGGATGAGAGGCTTGAGTGACGAGCTGACAACCGAAGCCAACATGCACAGGTGGGACAGCCACGAAAAGTGGAGATGGCGGCCCCAAACAAGTGTTCTGCCCGAGCCCCATGAGCGTTCGCACCGTGGCAGATGCGATTGAGAGGTGCGTGATGTGTATATATACAGTATATATATACATTATACTATATGTGTATGTTTTTTCATCCATGCATTTGGTATACCAACATGGAAAGTGCCCAAGGTGGCTGGGAAGATGATTTCTTCTAGTGGAATTCATTGGTCAATGTCACTGTCAGTACTATTATGGGTTCTCTCAGAGTACACTCAGAAGACTTGAGAGTTTCAGTTTTCATGGCTGGGAATCCGGACAGCCGCACTACAGAGAACCAGCTACTGTACCGTATCCACCCACTTCTTTCCTGACAGTGGTTTCAGAGTAGATGGCACAATCACCAAGAGGTGGTTTATGTGGACCCCCATCTAAAAGACATGTAGCGGGGTTTGTGCAAGAACGTCTCTCAGCGGGGTGCTGCCTTGGAACATCGATGAATGCGTTTGGACACGGCCACGAACGTTTGGAGTCGCTGATGGTTGTCAGAAGTTTGGAGCCATAAGTGATTGGAAGAAGCATCAGTGAATTTGAGGAGGCACGGATGACATGTGTTGCACTTGACATAGGGTGCTCATTTGGTCGCACCCTTTGGAAGCTGAGGTTGAACTTTACTCAACATGGCCAATCCCAATCCAACCCAAACCACCTACCCGCCTACCCCATCCAACGCCGCTACGAGGTGACCGTGCTGAAGAGTTTGGGCAGTGGGGAGGTCCCTGTGCCAAAGGGCGCTCAGGCGCGGCACCGGACATCTCTTGCTGCTCCCCGTTTCCGGCAGATTCCGAAGCCAACTGCGGCACCGACGTACATCCGAGTGGTGACGTGATTCCATGTGATTCCTAGGGTCCTAGAATGCCGCTGGTGGCAGGAATATCTCACTACGAATGCAATGTCCAAAAAGTTTTATGCATATAAAGCTGTCAACCCCCAATGCAGCCAAGTTGCCTTGCGAAACATTTTAGAGGAAGAGAGTCCCCGCCTATCGCAGTTTTGTGGAATTGAGTGTAGCTGGCTATGCAGGTTGGATCAAACAGGTAGCCAACCCCAAGAAGATGCAGGTAATAGGTCATAAGGCCTAGGGTTGTCATCCAGTTGAACTTCCTGTCCTTCCACATGTATGTGCAACCATTTCCAGTAATAAGTTCCGGGCTTCTCTTCAAGCGCTTCGTTTGAAGGGCTCCAAGTTCGTCAGGGCGAGACCAAGCTCCAAGTGACCA